GTGACAGATCCTTGTGGCAATAAATCAGGAAAGTATTCCTTCAGACAACTGGACATCGACTGTTGGAAAGAGACTTTTCATCTGATCTGCAAACTGTGATGGAAGATTCTACAGAGTTCATTCGATACAGAAGATTAACAGACTTACAAAGAAATAAAAGATTGACACTAACATACATATCAATTCCTAAATATTAACGAAAAAGAAAAGAGACAATGAAAAGTTATTTAATAGTTATGAGTATTAATACCAAAAGAGAGTACTTATAGCTATATAACACATGGAGTAAAACTATGATAGGATAGTATTATGAAAAGAACTATTACATTATTACCTATACATAGGATGAGAAGTATCAGAGGCAGATAAAATATGAAGTTCATAAAATAAGGATCATGGTTACTTAATACCACAAAGATTGAGTTCAATAGTATTTCATAGATTAATTATAATAAGTAATTTGTTTATATCGAGGTAAAGTAAAACAAACAATGGTAACATAAGGAAGAAAACTAAGGAAGGATAATTTATATTGATTTATATTAAGTAATGTTATACATTAAGAAGGCCTTGGATATAAGAGTTCAGAGATCCAAGAGGAATTTAATTGAATTGAATGAGTATAGTACACAATTATATTTGACCTAAGTCTATAAAGGTGGGGACTAGGGAGAATAGGTTTCTGGATATGATGGTATCCAATGAATTCAAGTTGTTTTATGAGTACCCTGAGTTTGTTAGACACAGACTAGGAATAAGAGTTTCTGGGCAGTATGACCCCAAGTTTATTTTTGTTTATTTTATTTTAGTCAGTTGAAGTGTACTAAGGAATATGGATGGGTCAGAACATTAGGACAATCCTGCTTTTAAGATGTATTACATTAATAAGTCATCACAATTAAGGTCTAATGAGGAGAGTGATGATAATTAATTTAAAGTATTCTTTCCAAGTTCTTTTAAAGTAAACCATTCTCCGATTGAATTTAAAGTTTGTTACTACAAGGTGGAATTTTAGTCAAAATTATAATAATGTGAACAAAAACAAATCTATGATAGAAAGATTTCTGGGTGGAGAATATCTAGGACAATAAGTATTGCCAACACCATGAACATTATTTGAAGAATTATTATAGAACTTCATGGTTGATAACACATCCTTTGAATGAGACTTATAAGTAGTGTTGGTATATTTCAGGTAGTGAGAGCCTACTGAATATACAAATTAAATACTATGATTGTAAAGTACTGATACAATCATCACTAGGTGGTATTAATGGTATAGGAAGGTAATTCATGAATACAAATGACCTAAAGATTTTAAGTTACTAGAAAACAGATGATTCATGGAAATCTCATTGGACGGGATATTATAGTAATACATGTATTAGTACTTAAGTAATATCAGGTATTGAGAATTAAAATACTTTGTTATATGTGTCTTTATTAGGAATATGATAGTGATACACAGTTATTATTTAGAAAGTTACAATCTTGATTTTGTTATCTACAAAGATACGACTGTACCAGAGCAGGTAGATCTTTCTCATTGCTTTACATTGTTTATTGGATCAACATTTGTAAATATTGTATTTTATTCATTTATTATTGTTATATGTAAATATTATGTTCAAGTAGTTATGATGTAACATGGATATGGATATCAATACATAGCTGAAACAGAGGGAGTTTTGAAGTAAAGTAAGCAGTATGAGGGATAGAAACTCGACCTTCTAAGAACTCTCATATAATAGAAAATTGTGACTACATCTTGTTCTATGCTCAATGAATGTGATACAAGTGATGTATGAATGGACAGGCTAGTGACATTGTGTTATGGTTTTAAAACAAACCATAAACAGAGGGAATGTAGAATATTGCATATTCTATGTTTCTATTGATTATATATATATGGATGTGTGGATTGACATAAGTAACAGATGGTATCAATAAGTCACAAGGCTTTCTTTGTCCGAGAGCTCTGGAATGTGGGTGTGGGGGTCTTGTCCTTATATGGCTAGAGTTATATGCTGACGTTAGTATTAGCACATCTAGATAGTAACAGAGGGACACGAGGTCGGTCTCACTCTTGGCTTGGCTCTGTACAACGATGTAACTCTCCCATCAGAAGTACAGCAATTACCATCTGCTGTTGAATGTCCATTATCCTGTAACATCATTTGTTGTTTTATGTATCCGTAACTAAGAATAAACCTGAAGAAACCGTAAGTCAGATTGCGTATTACTACTTTTCAATAATATAGACATATATTAGTGTGGCGAGCATTTGGCCCAAGAATATATATACAAAAGACGTATATATATCAATCAACTGAAGACAAGAAGAAATTAAGAAAGAGTCTACATTAACATCCATTCATCTAGTTTTTTACAGTATGTATCTGTTTGTAGGTGTCTGTTTGTGTGGAGCCTTTCTCTATGGAGCCTTTCCAAGCTGCAGGCCTTCTTCCAGGCAGGTATCATCCCCTCTGCCTATTCCGCTGCAGCCCTTTGTGGCCGGAATATATTGCTCATTTTGTGCGTTTCCCTTTTTATCCGTTCGGGAGTTATGGTATCTTAACACCCTGCATTCGACTCCCGAACGAGGACCACCCTGTTACCCCATTAAAACGTTCTCACCTCGTAACCTCGGCCAGGCTCCATCCCCACCAACATTAGCCGGCGGGGGAGACCTAATGCGCATGCAAACACTTTTTGTGTTCTAAGAAGCCGGAAGTCCATCTAGTGACTGTCTGATAGGAGGACTTTATAAAAACTGCAATACTTACACTTGCAGGGTTAAGGGTGATGGGAGTTGGCACCCAGATCACTCCAATGGGCAGAAGTGTCCTGGGTGCCTGGGGTGTCTCTTTAACTACAATACAACCAATGTATTTCATAGGGATTGTATTTAATTTTTTTTTTTTTTTTTTGCAAGAGTGGAGATGACAAAGCTGCTTTCAGACGAACACCTTTCTCCTTCACCAACACTTCTGGAGCCAGGCAGCCCTTTTTTTGGCGCCTCTGACCAAGGTAACTAACCCAGGTTACACATGCACGCGGGACGGGCACGCCCCCTAGCGGTGACGCCAGGCCGCTCGGTTGCGCGCACGCACTCTTTTAATTGATTGTTCGGCCGCGGGAGATTTTTTTTCTCCCCCTTGCCGCGCGTTGCGAGCGGAGAATCCGTACCACCGTGTGCAGATCCATCCGCGCGCTGCGTGAGGTGAAATCCCCGATCTGCGAGCAACACAGCGTTACCTCAGGCGGAGGACGGGCGGGAAAAAAAAAAAATAATATACAAAAAAAAAGGACACCTGAACGGATCGAAAGAGAGAGAGACAACATGTCGGCATCGCGAGAGAAGAGGAGCGCCCCCAGCGCCGCCGCTGCAGCACCACCACCACCGGCGGCCACCGCAGTCACCAACAATAACGGCGGCGGCGGGGGGGATGCGGCGGACGGACAGGAGCTGCTGGAGAACTGCGGGGTTTGCAAGGTCCGCCTGCAGCCCGACCGGCAGCCCCAGCTGCTCCCCTGCCTGCACTCCGTGTGCCACGGCTGCCTCAGCCCGGAGCCGCCGGTACCTGACGCCAGCGGGGATCCTGCCTCAGGTGAGCGGGGAAGGGGGAGGGGAATTCCCGCCATTACTATGGGGGGTGACCGTTAGAGCAGGCCGCAGCCTCGGCCCCGCCGGTAGTAGTAATCCACCCCGAGTCGGTATGTGTGAGAGAGACAGGCTCCCGCCCACCGAGCCAGCTCCATCTTGTAATCTCACCCCGAGGGCGGTATGTGTGGAGAGACAGGCTCCCGCCCTGAGCCAGCTCCATCTTGGCAGGCGTGCAGGGAGCGGGCCCTTTCCCCGTTCCGGTCTGTGAGCACCCTGCGGGTGTCCCCGGCTCACTGTGACCACCCTGGGCTGTGTCCCCGGCTCTCCGGTGTGACCACCCTGGGCAGTGTCCCCGGCTCTCAGTGTGTGACCACCCTGGGCTGTGTCCCCGGCTCTCTGTGTGTGACCACCCTGGGCTGTGTCCCCGGCTCTCAGTGTGTGACCACCCTGGGCAGTGTCCCCGGCTCTCAGTGTGTGACCACCCTGGGCTGTGTCCCCGGCTCTCAGTGTGTGACCACCCTGGGCTGTGTCCCCGGCTCTCAGTGTGTGACCACCCTGGGCTGTGTCCCCGGCTCTCAGTGTGTGACCACCCTGGGCTGTGTCCCCGGCTCTCAGTGTGTGACCACCCTGGGCTGTGTCCCCGGCTCTCAGTGTGTGACCACCCTGGGCTGTGTCCCCGGCTCTCAGTGTGTGACCACCCTGGGCTGTGTCCCCGGCTCTCAGTGTGTGACCACCCTGGGCTGTGTCCCCGGCTCTCTGTGTGTGACCACCCTGGGCTGTGTCCCCGGCTCTCTGTGTGTGACCACCCTGGGCTGTGTCCCCGGCTCTCTGTGTGTGACCACCCTGGGCTGTGTCCCCGGCTCTCTGTGTGTGACCACCCTGGGCTGTGTCCCCGGCTCTCTGTGTGTGACCACCCTGGGCTGTGTCCCCGGCTCTCTGTGTGTGACCACCCTGGGCTGTGTCCCCGGCTCTCTGTGTGTGACCACCCTGGGCTGTGTCCCCGGCTCTCTGTGTGTGACCACCCTGGGCTGTGTCCCCGGCTCTCTGTGTGTGACCACCCTGGGCTGTGTCCCCGGCTCTCTGTGTGTGACCACCCTGGGCTGTGTCCCCGGCTCTCTGTGTGTGACCACCCTGGGCTGTGTCCCCGGCTCTCTGTGTGTGACCACCCTGGGCTGTGTCCCCGGCTCTCTGTGTGTGACCACCCTGGGCTGTGTCCCCGGCTCTCTGTGTGTGACCACCCTGGGCTGTGTCCCCGGCTCTCTGTGTGTGACCACCCTGGGCTGTGTCCCCGGCTCTCTGTGTGTGACCACCCTGGGCTGTGTCCCCGGCTCTCTGTGTGTGACCACCCTGGGCTGTGTCCCCGGCTCTCAGTGTGTGACCACCCTGGCTGTGCCCCCACGGCTCTCAGTGTGTGACCACCCTGGGCTGTGTCCCCGGCTCTCAGTGCTGGGACCTGGATCAGTGCACTCACAGGAGGTGGCTGATGAAAGCTGAGAGAACTTTTTGAATTCAACTCCCTAGTAGCAATCTCATTCTTTGTGTATATGGTTATTTTTAAGTAATTGGTGCTTGATGATTTTTTTCTTTGTATTTCATAAATCTAACGAGCACTATTTAGACAACAAGACTTAAATGGTTGCTCTGTGAGTGATCAGTGACTTGAAGTGGTTATGGTGTTAGAAGCCTGGATGTGAATGATTGCACATCCAGAGCTTTGGGGAAAATATGTGCTAGGGGTAAGTTCTGGGCTGTGTAAGGTCTGTTCCGTGCTTAAATTGCATGTGCATATGCATTTGTTTACTTTGTGTATTCAAAACTTATGCGGTAGTCGCAAGGGACAGCTTCAGGCAGGTAAAGCCTACCTTTCACCCAAAGGTGACAGCTGCTGTAATAACGTATGTAATTGAATTGATGTACATTTTACATTTGTCTGCAGGACTTGCTGTTGTCCAGCGCAAGGTATAGAATAACAGAATATAGAGGTGAATGAATAGAAAGAGGATGGAAGACATTTTTAAGGAAGGTTGAATGAGGGGGAGAACGGTTGCAAGTTATTTAGCATTTGAAACATGGTATGGGACAGAGGAGAAAATAAAGCTAGTTGTGGCTCAAGATTAGGTTAAAGTGAATAAATGCAATGTATAGCAATTATAAAACTTCTATTTCTAGAATCTTTGTCTACCACTCCAGCCAATAAACAATGGTACAAATGGAAATGAGTTGCTATATACAATGTCAAGTGTAACCATTTTTCAGATATCAAATATTTTGGGGGGGGTGATAACTGCCACTATAAACCAAGGCTCGACAAATCCCAAGTTGCCATGGCAACTAGAAATTTCACCCTGGCGCCTGAGATTTCTTAACCCTTAAGCAAAGAAGAGCACGGAGATGACCGGCTGGAGGCAACAAGTTGAGGCAGCGCATGCGGAGCAGTAATCTTTGCGCGCTGTTCAGTGTTGCCGGGAGCAAGAATATGTCACTGCGGTCCTGGCATCACTGTAGGTAGCAGAGAGGAACTGCAGGAAGATAATCAAATCAACCCCACTGGATCCAAGGGAAAGATCCACCCAGCTCTCCCAAAGGTATGGAGGCTGGGTAGATTTAAATAAAAATATCAATTTGTTTGTGTCTGTCAGAAAGTGTTTGTGTCTGTGAGTTTCTGAAAAGGCAGTGTTTACATTAAAAAGCATGCAGGGACAGGTTTCAGACAGCAGGACAATTATATTGGGCTGTAGTGGCTCTGTTGATTATGTCTCTTTAAGAATTGCATTGATCACGTTGAAAATTAAACTTTGTTCGTTTAAAAAAAAAAAAAAGGCTCCTAGCAGTTTTAGCTAGCTCATAGATTACAAATTTGTCAAGCCCTGCTTTGTTTTGTTGTAGTGACTTTATATTTTACCATATCTGCTGTCCTCCCCACTATTTCCCCCTCCATAAAAGTAATTTGTGCTTGATTCTTCTTATGAATTAACACCACACCCTATCAGATCTCACAAAATCTGTAAACTGTCATGTAGAAATGTTGATTGTGGTGGACCATGTTACAGGCTTACCAGTGCTTCTACTTGTTGTTTGCATTTTTATTTTAGTCAAATACTCTGCTTTGTGTTTAAATACTCTGTTCTTTAAACAAATACTCCAGCCTTTTAAATAAAAGTACTTAAACAGTGGAGCCTTGAGTCTACGGGGCCCCTTTTTGTGCGAACTGTACCTCTAATCCAATGGCAAGAGGGTCCCTTGTTGCAGCTACACCCCTGCCAACAAATCCACTGTACTGATGATCTTCTGACCAATAGAATCTTTAGCGTATAGAAACATTCACAGCACTATACACACAATGCTTCTCATTAATAAACTTGAATTCAGTGCTTCTGGAGAAAGTTTTTTTTTTTTTTTTTTTCTCCCTAAAGCACAAAGTGATCAATAAAGGGGTACTACAAGTGCCAGCAATACAAAATCCTTTATTTACTTACCTTATCCCAGTTCCGATGCTCCTCCTCAATCCCGCAATGAGTGGGTGCGAATGTGCATGCGCAGCAAATATTACGCACACATAACACCTCCCCATAGGAAAGCATTGAATCAATGTCCTCATGCAAAGCGTCTGTTACCAGACCAGAGATCTGTTATGATGCAGCAAGCAGAAGACTGCCACTGGAGGCAGACTTAGATCTGCAATGTAAACATTGCATTTTCTATGGGACTGCAATGTTTTACCTTGCAGCACTAAGTGCAATAGGAACACTGCACCCAGACCACCTCAGTGAGCTGAAGTGGTCTGGGTGCCTATAGTGTCCCCTTAAGACAAGCATGTCAAACTTAGTCTAGCACGGGCCACATAAACAAGGTTTAAGTTTATGTAGGTTTACTTTGAAAAGTACAGTATAAAAAAAAAAAACACAGCACTCCCATATACTAAATCCCAGTACCCCCCTCTAGCCAACAAGCAGACTCCACTCACTTTGTCGCTGCCAGTATGCGACTCGGGAGTCCGGCCTCTGGTATACCCCAAATGGAGCCATCCGCACCCTGTTCAAAGTCTGATCATTCTGCTACTTCTTGAAACCCTGTGAAGGTGGAGCACGTCGATGTTGCGTGCCTCCAGGTACTTCACTGTGCTGTCGCAGCCAGTGCAACACTGACCAATACACAGACACACTCGCTGACAGGCGCACACACACATTTACACATCCTTGCACACACATCATTTTCTTTATTGCTCCCTACCTTTTGGGAGCTGACGTGGGGCCTCTCCCTGGGGTCCAGTGGGGATCTTCTATCTGCTCCCTTGCGCGGTTAAGTGATGCCGGAATATGACGTCCTATTCCGGTGCCCGGCTTCACTAGACGGCGCGCATGAGGTAGCAGTGAGCCATGGGTATTCTAAACTTCCTCCTTGGCCTGGTAAGTTTTTGCAGAGTAGGCAATGTGGGGAAAGCAGGTGCCTACTCTGCTATAACACTAAGCATGTACTCGCGGCTCCATCATGGCATACCATTTGCAAATGTAGACAACCCAGTGTATTCAAAATGGGGTATGTCCAGTCTTTTGTAGTAGCCACTTAGTCACGAACACTGGCCAAATTAGCGTTTAGATTTGGTTTTTGCATTTTTTTTTTTTAAACAAAAACTGCACTTTCGATGGTGATATCGTTGTGATAAGTTTTACTGTGTTGAAACACTCGTGTTCAACAAAGTTTCCTGAGTATTTACCCCCTACCTACCCCTCTCAACCTAAAAAATAATGAGGGGGGAATAAAATAACTAACCTGTAAAGAAAAATTAAACTTTCCATTCGACGTCTTCTTTTTTTCTAAAATCTTCATTTTTCAGCCCCCAAAAAGGCCAAATAAAAAACCATCATACCCGTCGAACTGAAAATAAAATCTGAGCGCAAAAAAAAAAAATCCTTCACCCATGGAGGGCTCCACGCAGACTGAGCTCTGCAGGCGGGGAAAGGCTTATAACGCCTTGTCCTGCTCTGCAATTAAGCTAAGAACACTCTGACTGGTTTAAGCCAATCAGAGTGCTCTATCATTTTACACAGCGTGGGGAAATTCCAAAGAACTTTCCCACGCTGGGTAAAATGAAACAGAGCACTCTGATTGGATGGCTTGAAATCCATCCAATCACACTGCTCTGTGTCATTTTACACAGCATGGGAAAGTTCTTTGGATTTTCCCCACGTTGTGTAAAATGAGAGCTCTCTGGTTGATTTAAACCAACCAATCAGTGTTTAGTTATTTTATACAGCGTGGGAAAGTTCTTTGGAATTTTCCCACGCTGTGTAAAATGACTCCGCACTCTGGTTGGCTTAAACCAACCAATCATTGTGCTCTGAGCCTAATTGCAGGGTGTGGTAAGGCTTTATAAGCCTTGACCCGCCCTGCGGAGCTCAGTATGTGGCATGCCCTCGAAGGGTGAAGATGGATATTTAGTTTTTTGTGGAGTTCGACAGGATTTATGGCTTTTTATTTGGCCTTTTTTGGGGCTGAAGAAAGATATTAGAAAAAAGACATCTAATGGTAAGTTTATATATTTTTTTTCTTTCTTTACAGGTATTTAGCTTCATTGTCCCCCCCTCACTATTATTAGGATGAGGGGGTAGGTAGAGATTTATTTTATTGGGGGTGACTAGGGGCTCAGGACCCCTAGTCACTGAAAAGGGGATGGGGGGGATTATAAACTTGGCCCCCACCAGCTGCTCGGGGGGGGGGGGCGGAGGCAATAGGTCTCCCCACCCCCTTACTGTTAAGGGCCCCCACCGCCATTTAGGGGTGGGGGCCGGGGGGGGAGGACTCGGCACAGGTGGGGGTTAGGGGGACAATTGTGTTGTTTGTTTTGGTTTTTTAAACCGTTTACTTGACATGACCCTACTCGCGTTATGGCGAGTAGGGGCATATTATTTACTAAGTAATCTTTACTTAGTATTAGTAAAGTTGTCTGAAAGACCAATTTAGGTCTCTTGGAAGATAACTCCCTAATACGTGGGAATTAGGGAGTTATCTACTAAGCGGCCACAAGATGCAGCCGCGGCACGAATTGGAGTTTCATTCATTTGAATGAAATTCCGATACGCACAAAGTGCCGAATTGAGTTCTAAAACAAACAAACAAACTGTTCTCATTCAGTTAGAAAGCAATTCGTCAGTTTCGTCTAAAATGACAGGAAGCATTGCGAGATCACAGAGGAAAGGTAAGAATTATGGGTTCTGGTCTTTGCTGGTCAAGCGGAGGAAACCTCCATAAGGCAGAGTCCCTACTTTGTCTTATGATTTTAAAGAAAACAAAAGAACAGATCCTGAGAGATGGGGAGAAGAGAAAGAGATTGAGGAAAGGTAAGTTCGGCATGACAGTGCCACTTTAAGTTATATTGCGTCTTTGTTTTTATAGAACTAAAAATGTAAATATAAAGGGACACTATAGTCACCTGAACAACTAAAGCTTAAGGTATTTGTTCTGGGGAGTATAATCATTACCTTCAGGCATTTTCATGCAAACACTGCCTTTTCAGAGAAAAGGCAGTGTTTACGTTGCCCCACCTCCAGTGCCCACTTCTCAGGTGCCTACTGGAGGTGGGGGCATGTGCAGCACTTCCGTTCAGCGTCTCCACACTTGGCATGAAGACACTGAATTTTCCTCAGAGATGCATTGATTCAGTTGTCCCTGTCCTGCCTCCTTGTCGATTTCAGCCAATTCAATGCTTTCACTATGGGATAGCATTGGACTGGCCTAAAATCATAAATTCTGATGTCACTGGGGAGGTGATATTATTTCATAGTGGCTCTCAGGGGAGACCAGTAAGGACCCCATATGTCATGTTCCTTGTTTTCTCATTCTATTGCTCTTTGTGGCTTAATTTACCAGGAGCCTCCGATACCGCTGTATGTAAAAACTGTGGAAGGAAGGGGGAGTGGGAATCTTGCACATCCACAATGAGAAGCTTCTTGAAGCTTATCCTTTAGTCAAAAAAAACTCCCCACTTTCTCATACATATAATGGGCACCTTCATCTTGATCTGGCACTTCAGCTGCCAGGAGTCTGTCTGCACAGTACACTCCTGGATTGAGACAGTGGGATCCTCCATAGGAAGTATCAAGTGTAGCAACAATACAGGTACAAAGTATCCCTGTATTGCCTACTATTAAATAGATTTATCTCCAGCGCTATACACTGACAGACCATATATAGATAACATTCTTAAAGTCAATACATGCCCACTGGTAATATAAAAATGTTCTCACCACTAAAGTGTAATGCGGATTGATTAATAATACACATTTTTAATATGTGGGGTAAAAGCTTTTTGATCCAAGAAGAGTTCCATTCTTGTGTTGAGAATTAATTTTATATCTAGTTTGTTGCAAAAATGGAAATCATTTAATACTTTTTCTTTTTTTGCTTTATTTTGCATTAACTCAAAAAAAAAAAGAGACTTTTCAGCATATTTAACTATGTGACCCTTCTCTTCTAACCCTACAGCAGCGATTTACTGTCCAGTGTGCAAACATCAATGTTTCCAGAAAGATATTGTTGAAAATTACTTCCTAAAGGAATCTTCTTCCACTGGTCCAGTAGAAGAAACCATTCAGGTAAGACATTCTTCTCTTGTTAATCTTCTTTAATTATCTGCTTAATTTTGACATATGACTTTACTTTTGAGTTATTCCTGACATATTTTGTATACTATGATTGTCAGGGTTTTATATATATTTTATTATTTTTGTTTATACTGCTTTCAAATGTTTACTGGATTTCACACTTTTTGGATACTGCACACCTGAAGTCTTTGGTTTGTTAGTGGTAGTGGTTTTTAATTAAATTTTTTTTTGTTTACTGGAGTGAGGGAATGAATGAGAAATAAACACTACTTGAGGCATTTAGTCGGATGAGAATTTGGATTGAGATGTATTAAATGTTTACATCCATATATGTAGGACTTCCCAGCTAGGGATGGTGTGGCTAGGGCTGCATAACAAAATGTTTTTGCTAAGCCTGGAAGGTGCAGGCATTGTGTCCGGAGGGCTAAAAGAAACAATTAGAGGACCACTCCACACTTCACAAAAAAAAAAGCCATGGGGGGGGGGCGGAGCCGATTGCCAAACCGCATGGACGTGTGCTAGCTGAGCTCCTCAATCTTGGAAAGCCAATCCACTATCATCGGGCACTAAACCCTCAAAATGGGACACCCTAAACGCTCTTTTGCTGGACAACACCCTGCTGGCAAGACCCCTGCGGGAACAACTGGGGCTCTGACTACATTTTTCAGGGACACAGCCGAGCATGCTCCCGACCTGGTAGGCCTCAACCAGGCCCCAGACTCGCCTCCGACCTGCTCAGCCCCACTGAGCCCAATAGGATCTGAGACCTCTTCTCACTCAAACCCAGATATCAGGGAGTTACTCAAAGCACTCCCCTCCAAACAAGACCTGGCCCACATGCTACGCGGATTAGAGGTCTCTTTCCAAACCAAACTAGACGCCATAGGGGCAGACTTCAAGCAGGCGAAACAGTGTCCTCCCTAGAGGAAGATAGGGACACGATGCCTGCGCAGATCAGAGCACTCCCAAGACACGGTGTCAGTGCAAAACAATCAGGTCTCTATATCCTACAGCGCTCGCTGGACGACCTGGATAATAGAGGGCGGCGGAACAACCTAAGGGTGAAAGGCCTGCCAGAAACACAGAACATCTCCCCACTATACTGCAGGACCTCTTCAACCTTATACTACGGCGCTCCACAGACACACCAATAGCCTTTGACAGGGCCTTACGCTCACGGGGCTCGCCATCTGAAATTCCAAGAGATGTGATCTGTAGATTACCCTACTATGAATGCAAGAATAGCATTATGGAAGCCCTCCGCCGCTCCCAACAACCCCTCCTGTACCATGAAGCTCCGATCGCGATATACCCCAATCTGTCATGGATGACCCTACAGGCTTGCAGAGTACTGAAACCCATAACAGACCAGCTCCGGACTAGGAATCTACGATATCGCTGGGGCTTCCCACTTTCGCTCAGTCACACATAACGGGGCCTCACATACCATCTCGTCGAGCCATTACGTACCGGTGTTCCTAAGAGAATTGGGCCTACCTGAACTCCAGCTACCAGATTGGTACGGCATTGTTCAGCCGCCTAACACACCACGGCTGCCACAAAGGAACCACTGGCAACAAATGCCCAAGAAACTGAGAACGGACCGGACGCCGATACCACCTGATGGGCCAACACATACCTCAACCCACTACTAGATGTAAGGACACTACGACAACGACACCAAGCAACCACTGGACTGCCACAGACTTCCACCACTCCCCTAGCCCTGACTTGATTGCTGAAGACACCATCCACGTAAGAGACTTACCTGTGCGAACCACGAAAGCCCACCAGATATGCTGCCACAGCTCTGATGGAAGCGAATGGAGAGATCCTTAAGACAACACGACGACCCTGGGCGAAGAGATCCCACAGCGGCTGGTCACGCAAGTAGTGCTACTACCAGGGACATTGAACTTACCCCAGGCCTACCCATGCCTACCAATACATGACCCCTCCCCCTCCCCCCACCGTTTACATCCCAAGCTAAACCCCCCTCTAAACACAGAAACGTGCTGATAATTCAAGACCCGACCCGGGGGATGTAGTGGATACGACCATATCGTCTACTAAGCCCACTATCCACTGCTTCCCACTCGTCAGACGTGGTGTCCCAATCCCAATGGGCGCCGATACCATATTAATGCTTGCCTATGCGACTGTCTACCAGTCCCCCCTCTCCCTCCCTCATCCAACCTACCTACCCCTTCCCCGGCCCGACAGGCCATACCTAGATATGAGCCTCTTTTGGCATACGCTGTACGAGCCTGCCATGTGGGCATCACCTCCCGGGATGATGTGTAATTTTGTTCCGGGGGTGCTGCTCCCAATGTTATCAAAATGTAATGTGGGTTATGCGAAGTATGTACTATGTGATATGTTATGGGAAGGTACACCTTGATCTGACGAGATACGGGCCGGTAGGGGATAAGAGTACCGACCTCTCGCGCTCTGTTCTCTGAGATAAAATATGCATATGGTAACCAGCCTTTTCAAACTGTACTGTGAAATGTTTCAATAGTTTCAGAGACATGCTCCCGGTACTTCCATTCCCTCCCCCCCTTCATACCCACGAACAATGACACGAGTAATGACTAAGAAAAAAACACTGTTCTCTAGACCCCAGGTAGCGTGGTGCATACAACCCTAGACAAGGGCTCCCTAGTGGCCCTACACGGCACGTTAGCAACACTACAGGGACCGCTCGTAGAATGTCTCCCTCATCCCTTGCCCTCGCTTCCCCTCCTCCCTGCCTACCCCCCCCCCCAATTCCTAGATATTCCTTAGCAAACGCACAAAAAAAACCCCCATAAAATATTAAAACCACATCCCCAGAAATATTACCGTATAGTGCACAACGGACCATACCTGGGCTCCAGGAGAAACCCACTCTCAGCATTCTAAAATAGACTGCACTGAAGCCTACAGCGCCCTCCCCCGCCTCCTTGCACAACTCCAAGTGGCCCATAAACAGCTCACCTAGACACCTCTGGGCTGTGGCGTTTAGGGACACCACACCGACCTGCCTGCCCTTTATTAAAGGGCTCAGATAATCCGACTCGCAACTATGCCTTTAGAGGGTAACAGTATTGCGCCACCTATGGCGAACTATATGAAGTTAGAGCCTAGTACTGAATGGACATACACTCTACCTCACTGGGTACATGGGGCACACCCACTCATGCTCATCCACTGACGAAAAACAGATGCACCACTGACATACTCCCCCACTCCCCTTTACTCATCTCCCACAGCCAAACACCAGCATCCCCCATCCACACACATCTGACACACAACACTGAACAACAGTACTGCAGGACATCACTAGCACTGTGCCACTAGATTATGGGGCCTCCACCAGAGACCCCCCCACAATATCGGGTACAGAATAGAGGCAATGATGGATGCCACTTAACTGAACATCCCTGGTTCGGAAACCTCAGACACACGCACAGCCATACAAACTCGGACTCGAACATGTGCCCTTTACGTACTCCTCGCATAAATCAGATGACTCCGGGAGACTGCTTATGGTCAAAGGCCAAAATGGCCAAAACGCAGTCACACTGGTAAACACCTACTACCAAATAGACGCCAATGCAAAGTGTTCAAATCCCAGCTCAAAGCCATAGAACAATTCACGGAGGGTATTCTAATCCTGGGTGGGGACTTTAACCTTTCCCTGGACTCACGAATGGACACAACGTCACACACCACAGAATACCAAACCTCTGCGCGCACACGGATGGCCAAGCTCCTAGATACTGCACAACTATACGACTGTTGGCGTACCACACACCCAACGACTTTTCATTCTACTCATCCACCACACACTCTAGACTGGACATGCTCTTCCTCCCACACAGGTTCCTCCACTTAATACAATCAACCAACTACAGTTCGATCACATGGTCAGACCATGCACCCCTGTCCCTAGCCCTACACATACCCACCATCCCGCAAAAGTCATTCCAATGGAAACTCAACGACCTTCTTCTCAATAACAAGGAAATAGTCTCACAGTTAGACGACTCTATAAACAATTACTTCACTATCAACACTACTCCCTCCTCACCTCCGCCCATCACATGGGAGGCACATAAATGCGTGCGAAGAGGAGAGAAAATAGCCCTGGCAGCGAGACACAAAAATATCAGAGGGCCAAAATTGGTACCCTTAAGGAAGAAATACGGACACTAGAAACCCTACATAAATCAGATACACGCCTGAGCACCTACACGGCCAAACGGGCAGCACTACAGGACATACTAAATGCCAAAACTAAACGCACAATCATGTTAACGAAGCACTCATACTATGCCCACGGAAGCAAATGTGGCCGCCTGTTAGCAAACTCCCTTAAACAACAAAGACAGTCGACATTCATCTCCAAAATCAAAACCCCCTCGGGAGCTATGTCACAAACTTCCAGACATACTGACAGCCTTCCACGACTTTTACACCAAGCTCTACAACCTGAGACGCCCCTCCCCCACTCAAAGACATTGAACGTTTCCTGTCCAATAGGGTCCACCAGACTATACCCGCAAACGCCCTTCCATCACTGTAAGAACCAATATCTCCTGACAAAGTTGCCTTAGCTATACAGCACCTCAAACTGGGGAAAAGCCCGGGACCCGATGGCTTTACGGCCAAATACTACAAAACGTTTGCAACCTCTTTATCCGAACCCTTCGCCCAGGCATTTAACTCCCTCGCCCACTCAACTGCCCTCCCTACGGCATCTCTGGAGGCCCACATAGCCCTTATACCCAAACCCGGTAAAGATCCAACCAACTGCAGTAGCTATCGCCCAATCTCCCTAATAAATCTAGACGTGAAATTGTTCATGAAAATACTGGCCACCCGCTTGAAACCACTGCTACAAACCTTGATACACCACGACCAAGCGGGCTTCGTCCCTTGATACACAACAAAAATTTTAAGTCTAATATACCTGGCAAAGCACCAGCAGACCGAAAGCCTCCTACTCTCAATTGATGCGGAAAAAGCATTCGACAGGGTGGTCTGGTCATTATTGAAGGCTACCCTACGTCAATTGGGATTCGGACCCCGGTGGTTGGAGTGGATGGAGGCCATCTACTCTACTCCCACGGCCCGACTGAGAGTCAACGGATAGCTCTCAGAATCCGTACACATTCGAAACGGCACGAGACAGGGCTGCCCTCTTTCCCCCCTTCTCTTTATTTTCGTACTAGAACCCTTCTTAAACGGAATCAGGAACAACCCAGATATCAGGGGCCTCCAAATACAAAACACAGAGTACAAAATCTCAGTGTTCGCTGACGATTTACTCTTCACCGTACAAACACCTGCCACCTCATTACCCTCCCCCCCCCTCTTGAAGAAATAATCCTGTACAATAAACTCTCCAATTTTCAAGTCAATTTCTCAAAAAGCGAAATATTACCACTCCAAGTTACCCCCCCTCCCCCCCTCAAGCACATATCTGCAAGCCACATTCCCATTCAAATGGGCAGATAAATTCATTACGTACCTGGGAATTCGCCTATCGGCGGACCCATCCTCCTCATACGCCCTGAATTATGACCCACTGTACCAAGCCATCGCAAATGACCTACATGCTTGGCATAAACCGCAGTTCTCTTGGCTCTGTAGAATCAATATCCTTAAAATGAACTCCCTCCCCAAGATACTCTACCTCTTCCAAACCCTGCCCATCGCTATACCCAAGTCCTTCTTCAACAAGCTCAGGCAACTTTTCACTACCTATATCTGGGTACAGAAACAACCTAGAATCCCATATGAGGTTCTAACCAGACACATCCTGCGGAGGACTGGGCCTCTCACACATAGAACGATACTACAAGGCAGTCATTCTTACCAGGATATACGATTGGACCGAACACCCATCGACGCGACAATGGGTAGCCCTCGAAAACGCGGTAAGCCTAGTACCTCTCTTTACGCTCCCATGGCAGAGAAGTGCTCCCTCAAAACTACTCTCATGCTGCGATGCCCATCCCACCATCTCCCCCACACTTAGGACGTGGACAAACATGTGAGAGGCTTGGAATACTTGCCCCCCACCCATCCCCCCTTTTTTCCATCACGTACAACCCACTCTTCCCCCCAGGAATGCAACCAGGGGCATATCAACGATACAACAACATGCTTGACACACCTTACCTGACGCTAGGCTCAGTGGTCGAAAGGGACTCAATACGGATACTGGTAAGTCTGGTGGGCCCCGAGGTCCCGCACACACTACAAGCGTTTCGCTACGCACAGCTGAATCATTTTCTAAGAGCCAACGCAACCTTACTCAAGGGCCCCCGCACACTATCCGATTTCGAAACACAATGCCTAACCCGTAACGGTAAAACGAAACAACTATCAACCTTCTACAAAACCTTGCAGGCAGACCATGGCACCCAACTACCCCCCTTCAGATACCTGGTCAACAGACCTGAATATACAGATCACGATGGTGGACTGCCCTATCACAAATACACAAGGCATCCATATGCACTAAGACACAAGAAGGGGGTTACAAGAGAATATCCAGGTGGCACTATTCCCCGGCCAAAATTCACAATATCTTCCCGGGCACACCAGATGTCTGCTGGAAATGTTCCCAACCAAAGGCGTCCCTTGCTCACATCTGGTGGCACTGCCCGCTCACGCAAAAGTACTGGACTAACATTGTCAAAATGATAAATACGGTAACGGGGTCCCAACTACAGCATACCCCACACACGCTGTTCCTAATCCTACCTACCTCAACCCCCAAAACACAGAAAGCCCTCCTGACACATCTCCTGACTGCAGCCAATTTGCTCATCCCGGCAAAATGGAAAAATACTAAACTCCCCACAATCAGGGAATGGGTAACCAAAATAGTCAATCAAAACCATGGAAGAGATCCATGCCTTCATCTCTCACAGACACTTTTCGTGGGACCCATGGGTGAGATTCTTAGCTGAGGATTCTGTGTGATTCCCTAAAGTTCACACCCTCTCATACGAGGTTTCCACACTGAAAAGGCCCCCTGGAACATGAGTAAGCAACGATATCTAAGCACACAACCACCCGTAATGATCAGGCTATACGGCCCACATCACCACACAGACCACTGGACACTCTCCAACACAGCTGCATGCTACATATACCGACACGGGACTGACGCCCCGGTTGATCATCGCGGGGCCAGAAATGACACATACGCAAACGGGTAGATAGGGGAGGACAACTCGCAACACCAAACCACTTAACACTATACTGCTTAAAAATCACAGCGAAAATCAAGAACACCCTATCTGAGTAAACGACAGGGCCAAGTTAAAAATAAGGTCCGGTCGTGGTCTATACCGTGGTGCGGGTCTCAATTTGTTGTTTCAACTTCTAGAGCCATGTTAACAAATGTATGTTTCCTGCAAAGTCCTACCTACTCAATACTGTATATATTCTAAATTGTACCTATCTGAAAATTTATTATACTAACAAAATGTCAGTTGTCATCCTTGATGTAAATGTGTACATCCCTCTCTTCCCTTTTTCCCTTATGTACCCCCTTTTGACTTGATTGTGACCATTCTTGGAAACCCAATAAAAGCGTTATAAAAAAAAATCCTACAGTTTAGTAGGTATACCCCTAATGAATGCATGCGTATTCGTTGGAAGTATAGTCCAAAAATGCTTACAAAAGTTATAGTTCTCATGACTGCAGTCTTTGTAAACCTTCCCCTTTTTTCCGGAAGAGACTGACTTGGTCTCCTCGTGCACGTGCTCCAGATCGTTTTTGTGTGTTTGTGTTCAAATACTCTGTTCTTTACACTTCAAACAAATACTCCAGCCTTTTAACACTTTCCTATTGGTATATGTAGGAACACTACTCCGTAGTGAGTGCAGAGGTTGTCATAGAACTCTTACTAGTTAGGCTATTGTGAGGTCCCATTCCTTTCTTTTATGTCCAGCCTCGGTATTTAATATTTTCCCTGGAGAGTTAATGCTTTTAGAAGTATTTGGCATAAATGCATATATTGGATCTGCTTTGTCCATCTTTTTTACTCTCGGTATTTAGGTATGTTCACTACTTAAAGTGAGCCTCCCTTATCAAGGCTTTTATTGACCTATCTGTTTAACCCCATGGTCAATATACCCCTGTACATCTTTATTCCACACTTCTTAGTGGACCTGTCTTTCTAGCTATTTAAATTTGTGTGCAGTGTATTGGTTTATTCCAAACACATAAGTAGTCTTAATATGCAAATCCAAATATTTGCTCTTTTTTTAGAATTTGCTCTTCTTTTACTTTGGTTTTTGTGAACATTGATAGAATACCCGTTTGCTTTGTATGTCTGCATTCTGAATATTTAACAGAATACTCCAGACATTTAATTTGCACAAGTTTAATACTATGTTGAATTTCCTTTGTAGGCTTGCAAAACACAGATTTTCCATGTCTGTATTGTTATATATTTGTAAATACCATTAGCTATATTAAACTGTCTACATTTGCTTTAGACAGGTTGTCCTGTACTGTACATTTTTACTATATAAATGTGACGTTATTCACTATAGTGAGCTGGAGTAATGGCATTGCTTCTTTAAATACTTGAACCAGAGTTTTTTTGTTTTTTTTATTATTATTTTTTTGTTTGTTTCTTTGTTTTTTAATGTAGACTTTTTTGTGTTTTTGTTTAGAGATGCACTAGCTGTGAGGACAATGCAGTGGCTAATAGTTACTGCATTGAGTGCACAGAGTGGCTCTGTGAGACCTGTGTCGAGGCTCATCAACGAGTGAAATATACAAAAGATCACACAGTCAAAGTTACAGGTAATTTCTAAAATAACCAGATTTGTCCCATCTTAAACTGTCGTGTTTTCCGTTAGCAATTTAAAAGCTCTAGACTTTAACCCCTTAAGACCGGAGGGCGTACTATTATGCCCTATTCTAAGCGGCTCTAAACGCCGCCGGGCGTAATAGTACGCCCTCAGGTCTTTTCCTACTTACCCGGTCGCCTGCGATCGCGGTTGGGGGGACTCCCAGGGAGCCCCCCGCGGCACGTCCGACCCCCTGGAAGCCCCCCGGCCATGTGAGAGTGAGGTCCTTGCGAGGACCCCACAATCACATGGCCGGGGGTAGCTGGCTGCAGCATTGCCAGCAGGGGGACTGCTTGTAATGACAGGTGGTCCCCCTGCTGGCTGGAAATAAAATCAAATTAAAAAGTGTAAAAAAATATATACTTTTATTTATATATATATATATATATATATATATATGTATGTGTGTATATATGTGTGTATGTGTGTATATATGTGTGTGTGTGTGTGTGTGTGTGTGTATATATATATATATATATATATATATATATATATATATATATATATATATATATATATATACACACACACACACACACACGTACACTGTCTAGGTGTATTTTACTATTAATATATATATATATATATATTCAAATTACACGTAGACTGATACTGATTAAATATAATTATTTATATATATATAATTATTGTTATATATATATATATATAATATAAAAAAATGTAAATACGTTAAATAAAATAAAAAAATTAAAAATAAATAATTAAATATATAGATGTGTAATTTCGTTCTAACTGTATTGTGAAATTAATATATATCAAAATACACATAGAACAAAATATATATCTATATACATAAATATATACGTATATATCACTATATATAACTAAAAATATTTTTAAAAAATTATATATATATATATATGTATATATACGTATATGTATATATACGTATATTCTACATATATATTTCTGTAATATTTTTACATAATTAGGTATCTTAATTAATTACAATTAGCGGGTCCTGCCTAACAACCCATGCCAAAAGTAAAGGGAATTTAATTTGCTAGCACTATATTTAACCCTATAACTTTCCAAGACACCATAAAACCTGTACATGTATTGTTCTACTCGGGAGACTTCGCTGAACACAAATATTAGTGTTTCAAAACAGTAAAATGTATTACAACGATGATATCGCCAGTAAAAGTGATGTTTTTTGCATTTTTCATGCACAAACAGCACTTACACGGACGATATTATTGCTGTGATACTTTTTACTGTTTTGAAAACACAAATATTTGTGTTCAGCGAAGTCTCCCGAGTACAACAGTACCCCTCATGTACAGGTTTTATGGTGTTTTCAAAAGTTACAGCGTCAAATATAAGGCTTGCGTTTCATTTTTTTCACATTAAAATTCGCCAGATTGGTTAGGTTGCCTTTGAGACCCTATGGTAGCCCAAGATTGAAAATTACCCCTATGATGGCATACCATTTGCAATAGTAGACAACCCAAGGTATTGCAAACTGGGTATGTCCAGTCTTTTTTAGTAGCCACTTAGTCACAAACACTGGCCAAAATTGGCGTTTTTTGCATTTTTCACACACAAACAAATACTAACGCTAACTTTGGCCAGTGTTTGTGACCAAATGGCTACTAACAAAGACTGGACATACCCCATTTGCAATACCTTGGGTTGTCTACTATTGCAAATGGTATGCCATTATGGGTGTAAATTTCATTCCCGGGCTACTATACAGTCTCAAAGGCAACGTAACCAATCTGGCGAATTTCAATTTCAAATGTAACGTGCTATATTTGACCCTGTAACTTCCCAAAACGCCATAAAACCTGTACATAGGGGGTACTGTCTTACACGTGAGACTTTACTGAATACAAATATGTGTATTTTATTGCAGTAAAAGCAAACAGTATTATGACATTGACCGTTAAAATGTCATGTAGAACTAAAAAAATAAAAATAAAAATCGTATTTTCTCCCATTTTTTTATATTAAATTATGTTTCATAGCTAAATATTTGATATTAAATGAAAGCCCTGTTTCCCCTGAATAAAATTATATATAATAAGGGTGGGTGCATTTACTATGAAAGAGGTGAATTACGGTTGGACAGACATGTAGCGCAAATGCCAGGTTTTGTTTACATTTTGTTTTGTTCACAACGTGTACATTTGGCTCCGTCCTTAAGGGGTTAAGGTTGGCAAGAATTTACAGTTATGCATCATCAAAAAAACTGCTATGATGATCTGCTTCCACTCTTTTAGAGCTACAGCATATTGGACTGGATTTAAAAAAAAATAGGTCTGCCATATATTAATCAGATGGTTTCAATTGGTAAACAAAAGTAATATTTTTATGATTTAAATATATTTCCAGCGTGCATTAGGGAAGGATTAAGGTTGAGAACCAGAGTATTTATCACTTAAGTATTCAGATCTTTATTACATGGCGTAGTCTGTATCAAAATAGGTTTTATGAAACTTTGTGGTCTGCTACATATTGCATCAAAGAATTCACACTTATTTGCGGACACCCTGTCTTTTTATTCCGGAGCGGGGGAGGGGGGTAAAATCATGTTTGCATTAGTTTAATAAAAAGCGTGGGGAGGTTTCTTAGTCACACTCTGAAATAAATTAACACATGAAGAAGCTGTCGTCGAGCTAATTTTCAGTGTGCTCATCCCCATTACTGAAAATTATAAGATTTGTTTATTTCTACATAGGTGGATCGAAAAAGGAGCCTGAGCACGCGGTGTACTGCCCAGTACATAAACATGAACCGCTTATGCTCTTCTGTGATACATGTGACACACTGACTTGTCGTGATTGCCAACTACAGGGACACAAGGATCATCAGTAATATTTATTTTTGACTCTTGCATGTTAGTCAATGTACTTGTTTGTTTTTATCATGTTTACTACATACATGTACATGACTAATATTTCAGGTATCAGTTTTTGGAGGATGCGGTTAAAAATCAGAGAAAGATCCTGTCTGCACTGGTTAAAAGGCTCAGCGAAAAACACACAACTCTACAAAAATCAACTAAGGATGTCCGAACTTCGTAAGTCTCGGCATCTCCAATGATGTCAAGCATTTATTTTTGTGTATTTATTTTTTCTTTTATTCCAACACAATAATCCGTTTTCTGGTTGATTTGTATACAGTACTCTATTGTTATATGCTCTGGCAATTGCTTTAAACAGTCTTACACAGTGTGAAGAAAAACTGAAACACAGACCACTGGCAGCTCTTCCTACTATTTAATTCTGAATTATTATATAGCTGGAAGCAAACATTGCTTTTATTTGCAGATAAACAAATCTTTTTGTAGAAATTATGAAAGATGGCTCATTCTGCATCATCTCCCCCACCTTTTGCTTAGTGGTCCAGGTTTTGTGCTTATTTACACCAGGTTATCTGTTTGTCTTGGTCTTAGAAACTTGATATTTTGGAATACAAAAACTACCTTGAAGGGACACTCCACTGTCCAAATACAAAATAATAAAACACTATTTAGTAACTACACCCTCAATGAAAATGTGCATTAATTTAATTATGCACTTTTTGGTATAATTGCATATTTTTATATAAAAATGTGTGATTCGGTTAATTTCTGATCAGAGTGAGCAGCAATAAAGACATGGTATCTTATTTTGGAAAAGAGAACAGTGGGATTTCTAGTGCTTTTGATAGAAGTGTGGCAGCTTGAGCTTCCCAAACCAAAGTTTTTTTTCTATCTGGCTCTAGGTAAACACTATGAAACAGAGAAGGTGCATGGAAGCAACACTTTCAGAATATCTTCAAATCTAAGTTGAAACAGTGTAAAGCAATATGGAAGATAAGAGCATAAAAAAACGGATTATTGGAGTTACTGGTCAGTGTAAATTAGAGAAATAACACTTACAAATTTCTGGGGCCTTTGAACAGCTCTAGATGTATGCACCTGGACAGTACAATCCCTTCCTGTGGATATGCTGGTGGACCTGGTCCTTTGTTAGATGTTCCAAGGCCAGTCGATAACTTGTGGTAATAAGCATTTGTGAGTGTTCTTCTCCAGTACGCATTATTGTAGCAGTAAAATGACTCCAGTATATGGAATGAAAATAAAACGGAAGATAGTGCTCTTTGTATTCATAAAATAAAGATAGGAGGATACTCACAAAAGCATAGGTTGTATCTGCCCCCCCAAGGAAATCAAAGTACAACTTTTCCATATAAAATCTTCAAGGATGAAGTCGGTAATTTTGATTTACAAAAAGCTAGTTTTATTGTAAACCTAAATTAAAAGCAATATACAGGATACAACTCTGATAAAACACTACCGTAGAAATAAGGCCTTTTCAAAGGTTGAGTGCATATATCTGGAGCTGATTAGACTCCAGAAATGTGTAAGTGTTACTATTTATACTACGCTATATTCAGTTCTTTTATCCCCTTATCCTCCATACTGCTTCACGCTGCTCCAACTTGGATTTGAGGATATTCTGAAGGCGTTGCTTCCATGCACCACCTCTGTTACATGACATCTTATGTGTTTGTTATTGTTTATATTTATAAAGCGAAAACTGCACTGCTACATCATTTTCTTATTCTAGAATTCGTCAGGTTATCGATGTGCAGAAAAAGTTACAAGTAGATGTCAAGATGGCAATCTTGCAAATAATGAAGGAACTCAACAAACGTGGTAAACTGTTGGTGAATGATATGCAGGTAAGTTTGTGCATCCAATTAAAGACTACATCATTTACTTTAATAGGACACTAGTGCTAATTTAATGTGCTAATTTAATGTGATCGGTTTTGGCATCACTAATATTCTGTTTTTTGTTTTTTTTCTCAATGTTAAAACTTTATAGATTTACATAAAATAAATGAAAGTTTTGCAGGATGCTGCACCATAAGTCTGACTTTTTAGCCACCTTCCCTCACTTAAGAAAGACTTAACCTTATTAAAAGTATGCACACAGCTCAGCCACTGACTGCACTGTGGGATTTAAACTACATAGCCGCCTGCATTAGGAGAGGATACCCAAGGAGGCATATTGTCAGTGCTGTTTGGGCCGAGACTGTGTGCATATTTTTGATAGGCAAGTCTTTCTAACATGAGGAGTATGGTTAAGAAGACTGGCTTATGGTGCAGTATTCTGCAAAACCCTTTTTATTTTTGTGTGCAAAAACTATAAAGATGTGATCATGCAACAAATACAGCATATTAAAAGAACTATATAGTCACCTAAATTACTTTAGCTAAATAAAGCAGTTTTAGTGTATCGATCATTCCCCTGCAAATTCACTGTCACCTCCCCTGGCTATGATTGACAGAGCCTGCATGGGGAAAAAAAATGGCTTCACTTTCAAACAGATGTAATGTACCTTAAATAATTGTATCTCAATCTCTAAATTGAACTTTAATCACATACAGGAGGCTCTTGCAGGGTCTGGCAAGCTATTAACATAGCAGAGGATAAGAAAATCTTAATTAAACAGAACTTGCAATAAAGAAAGCCTAAATAGGGCTCTCTTTACAGGAAGTGTTTATGGAAGGCTGTGCAAGTCAATGCAGGGAGGTGTGACAAGGGTTCATAAGCAAAGGGATTTAACTCCTAAATGGCAGAGGATTGAGCAGTGAGGCTGCAGGGGCATGTTCTATACACCAAACCTGCTTTATTAAGCTAAAGTTGTTCATAGTGTCCCAAAATCGATCAAACGCATCCAAGTTTGTATTGGTACTTGAAGTGACCCTTAAAAAAAAAAAAAAGGAATATCAGTAGTTTGCTTGCTTAATCTCTGTGCCTGGACCTTACAACCTGATCTTCAGTCTGTCCCCAAAAGCTGGAACAGGTTCATCTTGTTTGTTCAAGCAATTTATAAATCTTGCTTTCAGTAGTAATGCATTGGCAGAGTTTCAGTAAAAGTCGCATGAGTTGTGGTGGTATGTTGCTACAAATCCTTCCTTCACAGTGAAGAGGCTCTACCATTCAAAAGCTTCTCATTCATGTCTGTATGGTATCCTCTTCTCTATTTAGAAATTAAATAGCTTCTCCTCTTGTGCAGATACAATCTCCTCACTTTGCACAAACGTTGGAATGTGATTTATACAGCAAATAAGGTTAAAACCTTCCTTTGCTGTTTTCTGCTCCTGATTTTACAGCTGCAACTTTAATTTTTTTTTACACAGATCAGTGCAATCTTGATCCACTGAGCTATTAGGAAGGGTACAAGTTACATTCTCCTATCATTCTAACTTTTGCAATCAATTTATGGTGCAGAGACAAACAAAAACACTTACACAATAAATGCAATATTATACCAGAATGGAGCTGCCAAGGCTTTATTCCACTCTGTTTCTATGTATTTGCTCTAATTTGGTTTATAAAATTTTGTTAGTGAGTTACTTACACTAGTAGTCTTTCTTTGGTAGAAAGTCACAGAAGGGCATCAGGAAAAGTTAGAAAAACAGCACTGGGCCATGACAAAACTGCAGAAACACCAAGAGCACATCCTTCGATTTGCCACATGGGCCTTGGAAAGCGACAATAATACAGCATTGTTGCTGTCAAAGAAACTGGTATGTTTTACAATTATATTTTTTTTATTCTCCTTTTAGGAAAAAACTTTCTTTTACGTTGTTCACATTTCTGTATACCATAAAACGTCTTTGTTTCTTCTATAGATTTATTTTCAACTCCACCGTGCTTTGAAAGTTATTGTAGACCCTGTTGAGCCTTTAGGGGATCTAAAGTTTCAGTGGGATTCCGAAACCTGGACAAAACATGCAGAGTTCTTTGGTAAGAATTGTGGAGGATTTGTGGTTTCAAATTTTATTGTACAGAAGCAACAGAACGTACAAAATGCTGGCCACATCTCCTGTGGCGCATAACGAGTTACTATACCAAATGTGTGTGTGGGTTACTTTTATTTTAGCTGTCTGTAGCCCCTTTGCCGTGTTTTTAGATCTGCCTCCTCTTCCATCATGAGGCCACTGGTCAATTGTCAAATGTAATGCTCCTCATTTTTCAGGTGTGAAATGTGGCCGTTGAATTATGCAGCACACCCTCTAGGGTGTGCCCTCAACACATTACATAATTTTTGGTTCATTTGTTTCCAAAATGCTATCGAAATCAGCAGCATAGGACTGCTAATGTCACAGTATGTTTGGTTATTAGGTTTTAGCTTTTCAGTGCAGATCTTAGAGGCTTGGCTCGAATTTCACTTTCAAACAAAACATTATTTTGGGGATAGCAGAAGATCATATTTAAGGCACAATAACTTTAACAGTGCCTACAGTGTTCCTTAAAGTGGACACTACAATCATGACCATTTCAGTGAGTTCTAGTTGTCGTGGTGACTGGAGTCCGTATGTGCAGCATTTCACTATGAAAACCTGCACATACAGAGTTTAAGCCTTCTGCTGACAGAGGTGTAACTCTACTGGGGCGTCATAAGCAAGCCCAGAACAAGAGTTCATGATGGCCAATGTAAATCCTGTGTAAATCTGGCAACGGGATGAACCACCAAAGCAAGGGTTAACCAAAACCAGTGTTGAGAGAACTTTTTTTTTTGTGTGTGTGACATTTTTTTATGTCGTGTAGAGAGTGATACACATATTTGCAGGGACATGTCAACATAAATACAATACATAAATACATATGCCAAGAAAAATGTTTGCGAAGACATGACGTTGAGTACTGCACTTTTTTTTAGAAATTAAATAACATGAAACAGATGAGAAAAAAAACAAAACGAACACCGAGCTATGTTGGTGAAACTGTGAGAGACATGCTAAAGCATAGTACTGTAGAAATTGTCACGGTATAAATAAAAACCACTGTGATTTAAATACAAAAGGGAAATTGTTTGCACACCCGGAACATGCATTTCTCCGCAATGATGCTCACTTATATAAGACTGTAATGAAGGTTCATTTTCAGCTTTTTACATTATTAGCATCTGCTGAGTTAGGACTGCAGTTTTATCAGATGAAAAAAAAATTCATATTTTTGTCATGGCTTAAACTTTACCTTATAAGCCTTCAGTATTGTAGTACTGTGCCGTTCTTGATGTATGTACTTTGTTTTGAAATGTATTATTTATTTTTTATTTTTTTTAAGGCAAAATTGTATCGGATAAAACAGGTGTTCTGCAACCTGGTTCTGGTGGATCACTCTCTGGTTTAGGTGTAAATTCAACATCACAGGTGTTGACGCCACTAACCAACTTTAGCCCAATGGTGCAGAATAGGTCACGTCCCAGTGCGTCTCAGAATCAAGCTACGGCAGCACGAACTGGCCCTGGCAACTTTATCCAGCCCATGCAGGTGCGATTGTTTGGCTTTTTTCAAACTAGGTTTTTTGTTTTTGTTCTTTTGCATTTGTACAGGTAAACATGTAACAATTGCTCAGGCAGTTTTATAGTAACTGCACCTGAATACAGTACGTTTAAGGTACTAAAATTATACACACAGATGCTTTTAATGGAACCCTCAAGGCACCGCAACAACTTAATTGAAATGAAGTTATGGTGCAACAAGGTCCCAGTCACTGGCTTACCTGCAGGGGTTAAAATGTTTACTTGCTTTAACCACAAAGTAGACATCCACTAAAGGTGAAGTTAACACATAAAACTAAATGTTGCCATTAATAATAACGTCAATAATAACCTTTGCTGGGTTAAGGGACATGGGAATATGCACCAGACTACTTAAAGGGACACTCCAGGCACCCAGACAACTTCTGCCCATTGGAGTGGTCTGGGTGCCAACTCCCACTACCCTTAACCCTGCAACTGTTAATATTGCAGTTTTCATAAACTGTAATATTTACTTTGCAGGGTTAACTCCTCCTCTAGTGGCTGTCTAGTAGACAGCCACTAGAGGGCACTTCCGGGTTTATAGCACACATTGCTATAGCGTCGCTGGACATCCTCACGCTATGTGAGGACCTCCAGCGTTGCTGAAATCCCCATAGGAAACCATTGAAAGCATTTTTCAGTGCTTTCCTATGGGGAGGTCTAACGTATTAGGTCTGCCCCCGCCGGCGGTCACGCATGCGCAATAGGTCTCCCCTGCCGGATGATGGCGGGGAGGAGCGTGGGCGGACCCTGAACCAGCACCAAGGGACATCGGCGCTGGATACAGGTAAGTCACTGAAGGGGTTTTAACCCCTTCAGCAACTTGGGATGGGGGGGGGTGGGAGGGAGAGGGGACATGCGGTGTCAGGAAAACTGTTTGTTTTCTTGGCACTGGAGAGACCCTTTAAATAAGCTGAAGTGGTCTAGGTGCCTATATAGTCCCTTTAACCCCTTAAGGACTCATGACGTGTGTGACATGTCATGGTTCCCTTTTATTCCAGAAATCTGGTCCTTAAGGGGTTAAGCCACTTTAAACATTTTCCTATACAGCTAACAAAGACCAAAACAATTAAGTGTCATCTGTTAAATTGATTTTATTTCACTTACTCAATCTCTTTTCATTGCAGCCCATGGATGACTTTGACGGAAGTTCTGCAGGTATTGCTTATTATCATGAGAGCCAACTTATTACAAATTTGGCACCATTGTATTTAGAAAGTTTTTTTTTTTTTTTTCCTCTGGCCAAGGTCAGTTCTCTCACTTAAACGGTTTGAACACACTGGTTTGAAAATAAGTTTATTTTTAAGCTTCAAGAATGGTGATGGTCATTCTAAAACTAGTTATTTTGCAAAATCAGTCCTAAAAAAAAATAAACAATTTAGGTTGCTTCCAGTCTGGGAGGACTGCCTGATAGCCCAGACAGTCCCCGTCCCCCCAGGCAAGTCAGGCACCCGCAGGCCATGTTTTAGCTCTGACAGAATGGCCGCAATAGGAGTCTTTGCATGTGCCTGGGCTGTCAGGCAGTCTCCCTGCTACTGGGAAAAAAATGGATTAGTGGATCTTCAAAACAATGCCGGGTGCACACTGAGGCTTAAAGTATCCAAACTGAAAATATTATCAGTAGCACTTATGGTCTTCCATAAAATTTGGTCTTTATTGGGTAATATTTTTTTTTTTAACATTTTTAAAAAGGTAAACGTTTCAGTCGTTTTCTAGGACTTTCATCAGGATCAATAATATTTTATTGAAAAGAAAAAACCGAAAGGTACAAAAATAATGTGAATCACCAAAAGTGATAATAAATAAGTGAATACAAACTGGATTATGTTGATATATTTTAGATTCAGAATTACATCTGTAAAAAATACACAAACAATATATAGTGTGATATTGTTAAAGCCACTTGGAAATTGAAAGTGGTAGAGAACTCACAAAAATGGGATGAGATCAGGCATATCTCCCTCTGTATTAGGGGACTGGAGAATGAAGGACCTCCAGCGATGAATCCAGTTATATAATGACAAATCTTCTAATTCACTCCAAATGGAAAGAAGAAATAGAAATAGTGCAGATTGTATAAAGAGTAACAATTTATTACATGTATTGCACTTACAATGTATCTGAATAAAAACAGCTTGTCTCCACACTGGGTGGTATTCACTTGTAGCAGCTGAACCAATCAAAGATACAGGATCTGGAGCAGTAATAACAGCAACCAAACAATATAAAATAAGGGTTCAGTACAAAAACAAAATAAAAACAGTTCCAACGCGTTTCATCCTCCTCTGGACTTCCTCAAGGATGTGTAGCTTTGATGGGATTGGGAATCTTCTTAAATATCCGCCATCTGATCGCTCAAATGTTCGCCGGTGTTTGCGTGCGTTCCACCTTGGAACGCATGTTACTTCCGCATGACGTCACTTCCGGTTTTGCGGATAGAGTGAAACCACAATATATATCAATTGTGACAATTCAAAAACCACTTGCAACACAGAATTGCAGGTTGAACAGATAATACTTATCAACAAAGAGCACATCTCACATACAAACATATAAGAATGCACATAAATACCAGACATTGAGCATATCAGTATCGAGATAGAGAGATAGAGAGATAGAGAGATAGAGATAGATATAGATATATATATATATATATATATATATATATATATATACACACACACATACATCTCTCAAATGTATATAATGAATATAATAAATATACCCATATATAAGCATTTACTTCTGTTTTTTATTTTTAAGATACACATATAAATTTGATTAAAGTGATTAGAATAAATTTGAATACATTTAAATATTTAGAATTTGAAATTTAGAAGTGTAATAGTATGGAAAATTCTTAAAATTTCGAGTTATGGGGAAAAAAATTTTTTTATGAAAAAATTTAAAGGTATAGACGGTCAATACAAAACCAATCAATTTGATATGCTCAATTTCTTATAAAAATTGTATGATATATTATATACACCATTCAATAAATCTTTCCTATATTTTAAACTGTAATCTAACTATATCTGTATTTAGAAGTAATGTTTCTGTAATGAAAAAACAAAAATTAATCCTCAAATATAAATCAATATAATCATATAGATATATAAAAAGAAAATGAAATAAAAATAAAATAATAAAAAGGAAGAGAACTAAATTAATCCAACTAAATCTATTTCTTGATTCAAACTAAATTTTAAAGTTTTTAAATTAAAAATCCATTGGGCTTCCTTAGTATTTAACAAGGTTTCGATATTGCCTCCTCTCCAATGTTTTTCTATTTTATCTATCCCAATAGCTATCAATGTATTCCATTGGAAATGTGGACAGTGATCACAATGTCTAGATACACTATGTTCTAGTTTTTTGTTTCTTATATTTTGAAAGTGTTCTAATAATCTCACATGCAACTTTCGAATCGTGCGACCAATATATTGAGCTCCACAACCACATTGCAGTAAATAAACTACATGGGTGGTGGAGCATAGAATAAATTTATTGATCTGATAAGTTTGAGTATAAGTGCCTAAAAATGCATCTGTGCTGTTTTTTTGAAAGTTGCATGTGGAGCACCTTCCACATCTAAAGAAGCCTTTTAGTATTTGATTTGAAAAAATGTGTAGATTGAGAAGTAGTTTTCTTAGTAGGAAGAATACTGGGAGCTAGTTTATTCTTTAAATTATCTTCCTTTTTGTAAATTACAGTAGGCTTATTTAGTAAAACGTTATTCAAAAAAGATGTGCCAATGCCGATTTAATATTTTTAATCTCGCGAGCTTGAATATCTGGTGATAAAAGCAAAATTAAATTTATTTAAATCTTCATTCTTTTCTCTCTCTCTGTCTCTATTTGATGAAAGCAACTTCTCTCGATCGGTATTGATCAAAAAAGATTCTGCCTCTTCAATCATTTTTAAATCATATCCCTTTTCTATATATCTTTGTTTGATGATTTTAAATTGGGTTTTAAAAGTTTCTCCATCTGAACAATTTCGTCTTAATCGTGTTAGTTGTCCCTTTGGGACGTTTTTCAACCACATGGGATGATGTAAACTTGCACGATCTATAGCAGTATTACAATCAGTATTTTTTTTTTTTAAAGTTTTTGTTTTTAAAATATTTTCGATATAAATTGTTACATTTAAGAAATCTATCTGGGTAGGGTGACAGGTGGAAGTAAAACCCAGATTGTATTCATTATTATTGATGTACAAGATGAAATTATCCAAACTTATTTGGTCACCGTCCCAGATAATAAGGACGTCATCTATGTAGCGTTGCCATAGAACGAGGCTCTCCCCCTTCCCCCCCCCAGCGTCTGACCCAAAGATATACATCTAGATTCCCAATGGGAGACATACAAATTGGCGAAGCTGGGGGCGAACCTCGTCCCCATGGCGACACCACATAGCTGTAAGAAATGCTGATCATTAAACAAAACAAATTTTTTTGTTAAAACAAAAAGCATTCAGTCAATCATAAATTCAATCTGTTTTATCGCAAAAGAAGAATGTTGTAATAACCACTTAACACTCTTTTCAATAATAGAAGTACTGAAAATCATAATATTAATCTTCACAAAATTAGAACGATTATTGGAAAAAGAAACAAAAAAGTGGTGGGAAACCACATCACTGGAACAATATTTAAATGCTAAAATTATACCTAGAGGTCTTAGAATTTTAAAGGTCCCTGCTTTTGGAACAGGAGACCAAACATTATTAGATGAATGGAACTTAGCAAGCGATGAATGTTCCTTTTAATATATGAGAAGTCTAATTGATTTCCAAAGGAGATCCCTTAAAAAAATTGAAGAGGATATAAATGTTTATTGAAGCTGAAATAGAAAATAATCAAGAGGACAAAAGTTTTAGAAGAAAAATATAAACAGCTAAAAGATAATATAAAAGCGATAGATGATAAAGTTTCAGATGTAAAATCTTCTAAATACAGAAGAGATCAGGATGATTATCGAACAGGTTGTCAGAAAGATTGGTCAAAATCAGACAGTCAATTCAAGGGTTATACAAAATACTCCTCTTCAAGGAGGCCACTTGATACTCGACAATACAATGATACTACCACTTATACTACTAGAACTCCATATAGAAAAAGTTACATCTTATAATCAACATCAAAGAAGTTCCCCACATGAGCAAAAATCTTTCTCACGAAATTCTATTTGTACATATAAACAGGAGGATTTTTTTAGACAGGGAGCCAGACCAAAGAGAACAACGTTCGACATACATCATTCCCACACAAAACCGTTTTACGAGTCTAAGATCCCCCACAAAAAACTAGAGGTAGAGGATCAGGGGGAAACATCATACCAGGCCCTACCTCACAGACAACATTAAATAAAACTGAAGGAATTTTTAATTTATCAGGTATCCCTTTAAATGAAGAACAACTATCATTGCTACAAAAAGGTCTAAAATTCGCTCCCACTAATAAACCTAATCCATTTCAATTATTTTTGGACAATCAAATTTTTCTCAAAAAGTTAACAAGAAAGAGATTTTTTGAGAGAATTAAATATGAAAATACTTTTTAAAGAAAATACAATAAAAAATTTACATTTGAAACAAAACACAGATAATTTGAATTCTAATGAGTCTATACAGCATTCTAATCTAAAATTAAAATCAAACTTCTATCCATGGTCTGATCGCAGTAAATATCTAGAAGTTTTTAATGAATCTGTACAAGAGGATTTTGGCAAACTTATAGCAAAAACTAATAAGAAAAATAAATATTTACCATGCAATCTCACTACAGCGGAAAAACAGGCAATGCAGTTATTACAAAATAATGAGTTAGTCATAAAAGAAGCAGACAAAGGAGGAGGTATTGTTGTTTTGTCTAAACTTTATTATATGGAGGAAGCTTACAGAATTTTGAATGATGAAGTTACCTATAAATGTTTTGGAGAAAGATCCAACTAAACTTTTTCTTAAAGAACTTGATATTCTTTTAAAATTCGGGTTAGAAAATGATATAATCACTAAAGATGAATATAATTTTTTATATAATCCCCGTTGCAAAACCGCATGTTTCTATTTTCTACCTAAGATACATAAGTCCATTTCACATCCTCCATGTCGTCCCATTATAAGTGGTATCCGACTCACTTTCTTGTAATCTTTCGGCTTATATAGACTTTTTTTTTTTTTTTTTTTAACAATCATATGTATCTAAAATACCTTCATACAAAAAGATACTAAACATCTTTTAAATCATTTACAATCCGTAAAATGGAAATCAAGTTATATTTTGGCCTCAGTAGATGTAACTTCTCTCTACACTAGCATTCCCCATCAAAAAGGTCTATCCGCAATAAAGGAGTGGTTATTACAACATTCTTCTATTGCGATAAAACAGATTGAATTTATGATTGACTGAATGCTTTTTGTTTTAACAAAAAATTTTTTTTCTGGTTTAATGATCAGTATTTCTTACAGCTATGTGGTGTCGCCATGGGGACGAGGTTCGCCCCCAGCTTCGCCAATTTGTATGTCTCCCATTGGGAATATAGATGTATTTCTTTGGGTCAGACGCGGGGAGAGGAGAGCCTCGTTCTATGGCAACGCTACATAGATGATGTCCTTATTATCTGGGACGGTGACCAAATAAGTTTGGATAATTTCATCTTGTATATCAATAATAATGAATACAATCTGAGTTTTACCTCCACCTGTCTCCCTACGCAGATAGATTTTAGATTTAACAATTTATATTGAAAATAATATTTTAAAAACAAAAACTTTTTAAAAAAAATACTTATTGTAATACTGCTATAGATCGTGCAAGTTTGCATCATCCCACGTGGCTGAAAAACGTCCCAAAGGGACAACTAACATGATTAAGACGAAATTGTTCAGATATAGAAACTTTTAAAACCCAATCTAAAATCATCAAACAAAGAGATATATAGATATAGATAATGATGAAGTGTTGCTGTTATTACTGCTCCAGATCCTGTATCTTTGATTGGTTCAGCTGCTACAAGTGAATACCACCCAGTGTGGAGACAAGCTGTTTTTATTCAGATACATTGTAAGTGCAATACATGTAATAAATTGTTACTCTTTATACAATCTGCACTATTTCTATTTCTTCTTTCCATTTGGAGTGAATTAGAAGATTTGTCATTATATAACTGGATTCATCGCTGGAGGTCCTTCATTCTCCAGTCCCCTAATACAGAGGGAGATATGCCTGATCTCATCCCATTTTTGTGAGTTCTCTACCACTTTCAATTTCCAAGTGGCTTTAACAATATCACACTATATATTGTTTGTGTATTTTTTACAGATGTAATTCTGAATCTAAAATATATCAACATAATCCAGTTTGTATTCACTTATTTATCACTTTTGGTGATTCACATTATTTTTGTACCTTTCGGTTTTTTATTTTTCTTGTCACTGTTGTCATTTGAGTGTTTATAAGGGAACACTTATAAACCTTGGGTACTGTGTGCATTATAGCACTGACAGTTAACTGCTTGTTTCTTCAATATTTTATTGAAGACTTGAGTGCTACGGATATTTTCAATTTGGATATATTATTGTATAAAATACACTTATAGTAAAATGACACATACATACATTAACTATGTAGTATAGATTATAAAAAATAAAAAAATATATATTTTTTTAAATTTTAGTACTTATTATTATTTTCAAACCAGTGTGTCCCTTTAAGTGATAGCGCACATGGAATCCATGTATAAAGTGGAATTAGTAGTCAGAAATGTGGGTCTTTGGGCTCATTTGCATATGCCTACCCAGAATCCCTTGCAGTAGTGAGATCACTGTTAAAGTGAGATTTCTGTGGGAAAAGCAAGTCTTATGGCTTGACGGGGGTGGGGGTGTATTTGTGTTTTGCAATTATGTGTATATACATAATTAATTTATTTTATTTTTTTTCATTCTTACTGTGTTTTGATATTAATATGTATGTATTAAAATATTACCTTCAAATAATAAAACTGCCATAAACCCCCCCTCCCTGGCCAGGTAACAAGCAGGGAGGGGGGACAAAAAATGAAATATTAAAATATAAAAATATTACAATAAAATAAAGTATTAAAATAATATTAATAAAATAAAAAATGAATGATAAAAATGCCCCCCAACCCAGTTTACACACACTATACTAGAGTATATACGGTTTATAAATATGTATATTTAAATTCTATGTGTATATTTATGTAATCTTTTCATATAATTATCTGATTTTGCTAATTACAACTTGAGGGACCTGCCTGACAAGCCAGGCAGAAAGTCCAGAGAATTTAATTTGCAAGCACTGTATTTAACCCTGTAACTTTCCAAGACACTATAAAACCTGTAAAAACAGAACAATAAAATAAGGTTGCGCCTAAAATATACAATAAAACATAAAAATTGTATATAATAAAAAATAGTAAAATTTAATATAAAATATTAAATATATTATTAAATAAGTAGTTGGCAATAGTCCAAAACACTTATCATAAGTCCGTAATGGTGGATGCCACATATAAGAACAGGGATTCTGTGACGTAAAGTAGAGTATGTCTTCACAGTTGTGTGCTTGAGATCCAGTGGAATATATGCAGAGAAAAGACAAAATGGAACTCCAATGGCACAGTATATAGATGAATAAAAAAGTATATAAAAGTAAAATAGTCTTACACTTTTCAGAGCTAAAACCTAGCTCTGATATAGCTCACGTGAAGTGGAATAATCCCCACTCAAGGATATGCAGAGTAATATTTGATTGAAGAATATCTGACTCAGATTCGGCGTCCGAATTGGTGTTATTCAACACAGGAAAGAGAAATAAAATATATTGCGCTCTGTATAGTAATTAAAGGTGTACAGAAGTATAAAATATATACTACTCACAATATATAGAGCAGACTTGTACTGCTCAATATAAGCGCTTGGGTGGTATGATCCCCAGCTAAGGATTATTTAAACTTCTCATCAAAAAATGCCGTATATGTATAGTCAGGTGGAAAAAGAAAGAAAATGGCTATAAAATATTTTATGCCAAAATAATTTCTTTATTATAAAGTAATAAAAATAGTATCTAAACGTGTTTCGCCTCAATGGCTTCTTAAAGTAGATAATAGTAAAAAAGGGCTATTATCTACTTGAAGAAGCCCTTGAGGCAAAACGCGTTTAGATACTATTTTATTTTATAATAAAGAAATTATTTTGGCATAAAATATTTTATAGCCATTTTCTTTCTTTTTCCACCTGACTATACATATATGGCATTTTTTGATGAGAAGTTTAAATAATCCTTAGCTGGGGATCATACCACCCAAGCGCTTATATTGAGCAGTACAAGTCTGCTCTATATATTGTGAGTAGTATATATTTTATACTTCTTTACACCTTTAATTACTATACAGAGAGCACTATATTTTATTTCTCTTTCCTGGGTCGAATAACACCAATTCGGACGCCGAATCTGAGCCAGATATTCTTCAATCAAATATTACTCCGCATATCCTTGAGTGGGGATTATTCCACTTCACGTGCACTATATCAGAGCTAGGTTTTAGCTCTGAAAAGTGTGAGTAAGACTATTTTACTTTTATATACCATTTTATTCATCTATATACTGTGCCATTGGAGTTCCTTTTTGTCTTTTCTCTGCATATATTCCACTGGATCTCAAGCACACAACTGTGAAGACATACTCTACTTTACGTCACAGAATCCCTGTTCTTATATGTGGCATCCACCATTACGGACTTATAAGTGTTTTGGACTATTGCCAACTACTTATTTAATAATATATTTTATATTAAATTTTACTATTTTTTATTATATACAATTTTTATGTTTTATTGTGTATATTTTAGGCGCAACCTTATTTAATTGTTCTGTTTTTGCATTTCTTCTTACCATTAGGGTATTATAGGGGACTCGATTGCAGCCTTATTGTTGTTATTTTTTGTGTGGCAATCTAGCGCTGATTTCTCTCTTCCATTTACTATAAAACCTGTACTTGGGGCATGGTGGGTACTATTTTACTTGGGAGACTTTGCAAAACACAAATTACTGTTTCAAAACTTTAAATTGTATTACAACTATGATATTGTCAATGAAAGTGCAATTTTTTGCATTTTTCGCACACAAACAGCACTTCCACTGAAGATATTGTTGTGATACGTTTTACTGAAGCACTAATATTTGTGTTCAGCGAAGTCTACCGAGTATAACATTTACCCCCATGTACAGGTTTTCTGATGTTTTGGAAAGTAAGAGATTCCAATATAAGGCTTGCATTTCATTTTTTTTCACATTGAAATTTGCCAGATTGGTAACGTAGTTTTGAGACGTATGGTAGCCCAGGAATGAGAATTATCCCCATGTTGGCATACCTTTTGCAAAAGTAGACAACCCAAGGTATTGCAAGTGGGGTATGTAGAGTCTTTTTCTAGTAGCCACTTAGTCAAAAACACTGGTCAAAGTTGCATTCGCATTCATTTTTCCTTTGTTTTTTTGCTTTTTGTTTATTTGCATTTTCCACACACAAATGTTTGTGACTAAGTGGCTACTAAAAAAGACTAGACATACCCCATATTAAATACCATGGACCATTCCTGGGCTACCATATGGTTTCAACGGCAACATTACCAATCTGGCAAAATTCAGTGTGTGTAAACTGAAAAATTGAACATGCTATATTTGACCCTGTAACTTTTGAAAACCCTATAAAACCTGTTCATGGGGGGGTACTGTTGTACTTGTGAGACATTGCTGATTACAAATGTGTATTTTATAGCAGTAAAAGCCAATAGTATTGACATTCACAGTAAAAATGCCAAAACTAAAAAATGTTTTTAAATCTAAATTTGTTACTTTTTTAGATTTTATTCCTAAAGTGTGTGTGTGTGTATATATGTGTGTATATAATTTGATGTGAAATGAAAGCCCTGTTTCTCCTGAACAAAAAGGTATGTATGTATATGTTAGGGTGCACTTAAAGGACCACTCTAGACACCCAGACCACTTCAGCTTAATGAAGTGGTCTGGGTGCCAGGTCCAGCTAGGGTTAACCTTTTTTTTATTTATTTTTTAGAGAAACTGCTATGTTTATAAACGGGTTAATCCAGCCTCTAGTGGCTGTCTCTTGACAGTCGCTAGAGGCGCTTGTGTGCTTCTCACTGTGAAAATCACAGTGAGAAGACGCCAGCGTCCATAGGAAAGCATTGTAAATGCTTTCCTATGAGACTGGCTGAATGCGCGCGCAGCTCCTGCATCCGAAGAGGAGGAGAGCTCCCCGCCCGGCGCTGGAGAAAGAGGGAAGTTTAACCCCTTCCTGCACCCTCAGGGCACTATAGTGCCAGGAAAACGAGTATGTTTTCCTGGCACTATAGTGGTCCTTTTAATATGAAAGAGGTGAATTACGGTTGAACAGACATTTAGTGCAAATTCCAGTTTTTGTTTACCTTTTGTTTTGATCAGAACATGTACAATTGCCTCCTTCCTTAAAGGACCACTATAGTGCCAGGAAAACATGCTCGTTTTCCTGGCACTATAGTGCCCTGAGGGTGCCCCCACCCTCAGGGACCCCCTCCCGCCCGGCTCTGGAAGGGGAAAGGGGTAAAAACGTACCTTTTTCCAGCGCTGGGCGGGGAGCTCTCTGCCTCCTCTCCTCCTCCGATCCGCCCCGCCGGCTGAATGCGCACGCGCGGCAAGAGCTGCGCGCGCATTCAGCCCGTCGCATAGGAAAGCATTTACAATGCTTTCCTATGGACGCTTGCGTGCTCTCACTGTGAAAATCACAGTGAGAAGCACGCAAGCGCCTCTAGTGGCTGTCAATGAGACAGCCACTAGAGGATTAGGGGGAAGGCTTAACCCATTCATAATTATAGCAGTTTCTCTGAAACTGCTATAATTATGAAAAAATGGGTTAACCCTAGAAGGACCTGGCACCCAGACCACTTCATTAAGCTGAAGTGGTCTGGGTGCCTAGAGTGGTCCTTTAAGGGGCTAAAGTAATCCAAATTTTAAATGCTCACCATGAACTGTTGTCCAGTGTCCTAGCACCTAGCTGTCAATATGTAAGCATTTCAATCTATCAAAACACATCACTCCAAAAAATATGAATTCTAATCATGCATTGCTTCATTTCTAAAACATGTGTGTGTATGTATATATGTGTGTGTGTGTGTGTATGTATGTATCTCATGGTTTTGTGAATTGCACTTAACTCTCAATTAGTTTTCCTCTGCATTAAATTAGTTTCTCAATGTTTTTTGTTTTACTCTTCATCAGAGGGAGAATCGTCTGGACTGGAAACCTTGGCTGGGCACAAAAGGTACAGTTATGAATTTTATTTTATTTTTGGTGGGGGGGAGTTTGTTTCAATATTAAATATTAATGCATGTATTTCATTTTAAGAGGGCATAACTCAGAAGGTGATGTAAATGAACTTTTAAAGAAAGTTCCTCGTGTCAGTCTTGAACGCTTGGATGTTGACCTTAATCCTGACACTCAACCACCAGTCTTCAAAGTATTCCCAGGAACCACGAATGAGGATTATAATTTAATTGTAATAGAAAGAGGGAATGCTCCTGGGGAACCTGTTGTGAAAGTAAGTATTTAACTACTTTACCTTGATTGACATTGACAGTAAAAAAAAATGTTTAGAACAAGAATTCCTTAAATCTTTACACAAATGTTTAGAGGCTTATTTTCTCTGTTGCAGCATTATGAGCTAATCTCTGTGCATGCTGCATTAGTATCCTTGTATCATATACGGAACATAAAGTTTAAAATAAAGCAATTTGTTTTAATTACATGTAACCTGCCAACATTATTAATGATTGTAAGTTTATTATAAGAGAGGATAGTTTAATAGCATAACCTTTTGCTTTTTTAGGAAGAGGCCATGGAAACTAATATTCCTATTCCCACAATTGAATCCAGTGACGAAAAACCATGCATTATTCGTTCAGATGGTTTGCCCGAAGCTCTACAGCCTGCTATCAGACCCTCTAGTGTTGCAAGTGACAGTGCTTCTTCTGATTTTCAAGGCTCTAGCAGTGGTGGCTTTTCAGAACCTGGCATCACAAATCTCTGCAAGGTGTGCCAGAAAGAAGGGGTGCTGCTAGCATGTAATCAGTGTAAAACCACCTTCCATAAAGAATGCCATCTGCCATCCATCATGGAGTTGCAAAGGTACTAATTTGTTTCCAGTGACTCACAAGTCACTATAAATATATTCTCTTGCACAAAGTATTTTATTCCTCTCTGATCATCTGCATAGTAAATCATAAGTGCTGTTACTTTCCTCCTAAATGTTTAGTGGAGAATGGAAATGTATGCTGTGCCAGGACTTAACTGCTAAGAGTGATCAGTGTGCTGATGATCTTCCACCAGCAGACCTAAGCCACCCTATGTTATCGTCAACTGACCTGAAGGTTTGTATATTTTACAAGAACATATAAATGCTAATTTTGCTGATATCTAGTCGATGGGGTAGCATTGTTTATGGTGCTACATAAAATTTACTACATTGTATTTTTAGAGCTGTGCATATTCAACATACCAAGAGGCATTATACATATGTAAATAAACATAAAAAATATTTGAGATTAATTTTAGTTGTCTTGGAGAAAGATGGACGGTGATCTTTTTGGGAATAAATACAAATATGGACCTGTAGTTTGTATACTTGGTTCGTTTTTTTTTTTGTTTGTTTTTGTGATGTTAATTATTTTATTCTTGCCAGAAATGTGAACGTTTGTTGTTAGAACTTCTCTGCCATGAACCCTGTCGGCCTTTTCACAGGCTGTCTACTGGCGCGGTAAGTAATTTGTGTTTAAATGTCTAGAGGATTTTTTTAAAAGATTGTTTGGCCTATTAATCCAGCTCTCTTAATAAATCTCTCTCTCTCTCACTATCTATCTCACATTTACAGTGCTGTTACTACTGCATTCTGGGTGGCCATATGCAAATTGCGAACCACCTTTGTCTTGTATATGTAGCTTTAAGTGTGTGACTGGCTGCTGTATTTTACAATATGTGTGTAATTGTGTGAATCTGTGCGTATGTGCAAGTGACACTGCAAAAATATACACCTGCATTCACACAAGGGGCCTTTATGCATATATTTTTTTTAAATCTAAACTAAATACATATAGCACACCGTCAATGCACCCATAACAAACATCAGACACGGAGGTGCAGAGCAGATTTTCATCACACTGGATCTCCAGAGATCAGCATCCCCACTCCCTGCAAGGTAACAGGGAAGACTGAATAATAAAAAGCGATAAAATAAATATTAATAAAGCCCTTTTACAAACACTATACATATGCCTATTGGTGGCTAGCTGTCAAAACAGATTCAGTTTTCACAGCGGAAGCGTCTCTAGTGGCTGTCCGTAACCTTGCAATGTATCTATTAAATGACAATGCTTTACATAGCAGGTTTAACACCACTGTATCTAGACCACTTCATTGAGATGAAGTGGTCTTGGGTGTCTTCAGTGATCCTTTAATGAACTGAATCGAAAACAATTGGATGTACCTGATTATGCTGCCTATATTTAATTCTGCATTTTCACCTACCCTATGCTTTTGTTTGTTCCTTTCTAAATCCATGGAACATCACCCCATTAATCTGAAATCATTTTCTGTTTCCTTCATGTTTTACTTAGTGTTTTTTTAACCTATATCTTTTCCTATTGGTTATTTTTCTGATCTGCATCCTTGACCATTGGTCTCTATAAATTTAAGTCTAGGGAGTTTTTTCATAGACTAGCCTTTATGTAGCCCTCCACCATGCATCATACAACAAATCATAGCTAGCATGGATGACCCTGTTTGACCTCTTATTCATTTTTCATTCATTCTTGGCAATATTGGTATCTTTGAAACAAATGTTTTTTTTTCTGTTGTATTTTTCAACTTGAAATTCTAGGAGAATGACCCATTAATTGACTTGACATTGATAAGAGCAAAGCTTCAGCAAAAATTGTCACCTTTGTACAGCACCCCTGAAGACTTTGTTCGCGACATATGGTTAATGTTCAGAAATGTCAGCAAGCTTGCAGAGGTAAGTTATGATTTAAAGTATACATATTTAGTAGAATGGTTCATCGTGACTGATATTTAACTGATGCCACAAAAGCTTTTTAGAGCATAATCCTCTTGAACCTTTACTCAAGCTTTGTAAAATTCAAAAATAAGTTTGTTGAATTTTTAGGGTTCACTTTAAATGATGGCTATCCAGAGGTAAGTAACAGGAAGCAGTGCCATCCTTTCTCTATCCCCCATGGAGTAGATTTGGGTAATCTCAAGAATTGTATAAAGAGTGGGAGGGAGATATAAAAAATGCATAATTAAATGCATGCATGTTTTCATTTGGGTATATCTACAAAACTAATTTTAATTATTGGGAGGATAAAGGGCAATGGAGTTTAAAAATGAAAGCAACTGGGAGCATTGCTTCCAACTCTCATACCACAACTCCTGGTATGGAACTAAATGCTAAATATCTCCCTCAGCAATAAAAGCTAAAGAGTGGTGTGCTGCTTCTCTTTATAACCCATCACCCACTAGCAGAGTAAAGGGCATTTGGGTAGGACCCTGCACAAAGATACCCCTTTTTAAATTCATTACCTCCAATCCTGCAACACAGAGGACTGGGGGGCATAGAGCTGTAAGCCCCATGGCTCTGTTTTTGTATGTGTGTGTTTGTTTTTGTTTTTTTTGCAGAAGTTACAAAGAGAAATATCAAAGATCCCTCCTTGTAATCGAAAAATGAATAAAAAAAATAGAATGAATTAGACGAATTTAGTCCATTAGGCAATTTTTTTTTCATTTCTTTTGTTTCTTAAGTCATTTGTTCCTTTTTGAGTCACTGAAAATTCAGGTGAATTCACGTTAGTCTGAAAACAAATCCACAAATCTAGTAGTCTCTAAATCGGGTTTAGGCAGTCTTCGGCACTCCAGATATTGTGGATTATACTTCCCATAATGCTGACAACGCATCAGGGTAGATGTAGTTCATAACATTTGGAGTGCCGAAGGTTGTCTACTGCTCTAAATTCTGGTGGATTTGTTAGTCATACTGCTGACCTTGCTATGTTTTGAAATGGGAATGTTAGTGCCTTGCCTATTCCTCAACTGCTGTCTTCTAAATTGTTGAATGTTGATCTTTTAATGTGTAATTTACATGGTTTTCATAAAGAGAAATAAAATGTGGTATAGTTTCCTTAGCACGCTTGGCATTATTCAGATTACTGATGTTTGACCTATTGTAGACAAAAATTGCAGTATTATGCAAGTTCAGAAAAGCTAATTATTCTAATTGTGGTTGTGTGTTTTGACAAATTATAATAGTGCTATTTGGCTTTTGTGGCCGAGCGCATTTAAAAAAATTTTTTTTTTCCTTTTAATCCTGTGCTAGGACAAAGCTGTGGTACAGTCCATAATAGAATTGCAATCTTTCTGTGAAGCAAGATTAAACACACTCTTTGGGGACCGTAAGTTCTCATGCCTTCTTGGGGAGACACTGGGTGAAGAAGAACCACAAAGCGAGAGTATTACCCAGCGAAGTTCTCCAATGAGCACAACAAGTGAGAGTGTATCATCTGTCAAGAACATCGCTGATCAGGATTAATTATTCCAGGCTGTATTTATCTGTGGTCAAATCAAAGTGGACATGCGCATCTTATTTCATTCAACATCAGTGCTGCGCAAATGACTGGACTGTTCAAGTGAATTTACCCCTTCTGTCTTTCTAGATGAACATGCTGCCACTGGAATTGAACAATGTTTTTCCTAGGCAGTTTAAAAAAAAAAAAAAAAAACTCTTTGGGAGAAGACTGTAATGCTGTACAATAAACATAGGATTGCTAAATTAACATTCATGTATTTAGCGAGCTCTTATTTGTTGCATCATACCCTAACTAAACTTTTGACTTTTGCATTTACGTATTATCCCTTTGTTTCTCGTGTTACACTATTCCATTTCTTAATGTTTCACTTGCAGTGATCTGAGAGCAATGGGATATTAAAATAAAATATTTGTAATCTAGTTAGACTCTACCCCTTTCTTTCTTCCACTAGTGGTCATGTCTGCCACTTCCTCTTTAAGTGTTGACACTGCTTCTCTAAAGTCCATACAACATGACATTTTGAAACATGTAATCTTTTATAACTTTACAGGTTTCCCCTCTCTACCCAGCATTAAAGTGGAACTGTCACTTCCCTGGAAATTTACACCATTAAAGAAAACGCTGGAAATCTGTTTAAGCTTTGGCTCTTTTAATTTTTTTTCTTCATATGATGCTAATATAGAACAATTTTAGCAAGTGACATCAAAATTCAGTCTAGAATTGTTTGTTTTATGTAATGTCAGGGAGCCAAGATAGGGCAATCCAGTTCCCGAACAGGTGTCTGGACCTCTACATTTTAATTTTATTTTTTCAGACCTCACAAAACCTGTTTGGTAAATATTGCTTATAAATAAACAGATTACAAATCCTGGGAAGTGACAGTTCCCTTTAAAACCGGACCAAATCATACTGTTACTATGTGATGTTTTATTTATGGTTTTTGTCAAGAACAGTCCCTTTTTAAATGCCTAACCATATTTCTTCATCTTTACAAGAAGGGCACTGGATGGGGGGATGTTTTCTGCACGATATGTAAAGAAGGACTTTAAAGACATATAATGTTTTAATACAAATAGATTACAGCTCATACCCACCCTCTTAATATTAGAGGGATTAAATGAAATGACTAAACTACTTAGTTCTTTGGTTTTTCCATGAGAATGGAATCTAAGCAGTTCTCAATCCTAGTTTCCCAATGGGCACACTCTTGTGAAAATTAGTGTACTAAGAACAATAATGATTTAAACACTAGACCCCTTTGGGTTGTTTTTTTGTTTTTTCCCTATTTTTCTTTAAAACTAAAAACTTTACTGTGGATCTTTTTGAGATGCGGTAAATTAAAAATCTTATTCACATTAATTATTTCACTTTCAGGATTATAGGTGTTTATTTTAATGTTAATGTGCTGTTTGAACTAGAATTCTAACAAAAGGGTCTGCATTAAAAAGCCTGAGGCAATACTAATACATTTCAAAGAATAATGCAATCTTTACAGCTTCTGCCAAGGGTTTATTTAAACTTTTTTTTTTAAAATCATGTCTCGGTCTACACCTTTTCGTTATATAATCCATTTTTACAAAATACCTTTTATGTAAATAAAAGTTACCCTTTTTGTCATTTAATGGCTTGTTTAGTTCGCCTGACTTCTTTTTTTTAAGCCTGCCAGTGCCAATTCCTTAGTCATAACATACACTGAAAGTGTTTTTTGGGGTGGTTCTCTGCATTAGCTCGTGGCATGTAGCAAGTTTAGTTTGGTCCTATAAAGTGGATCACCCTGTAAGCAAAGCCCATCTGTCCCAAACAGCCAGTATCGGAAGTGATTTCATTTAGTCATGAGCTGTAAAGTTACACTTCTTACTATTTTTTTATTCCCACCCCCCCCTTCCCATATGTCAAGTTCCAATTCTGAGCTTTTCAACAGATGCGTTGTTTTTCTTGTATCACTACGGTTTACGATCTGACTCTAAACCTGTTTCCCCTATTACTGTTGTAGTCTTTTAAAGTGTATCCTCATTATCCAATGTGCTGTTCTGTTTGCCCTAGTTATCAGCTATATCTGGTGATAACATTTTGTAAGAGCAGTGAACAGTTACAACTTTTTTTTTTTTTTTTTCCTTTGTGGTTTTTGTATTAAATAAAGAATCTTTAAAACTGTAGAAGTTAAAATGTTTTCTTATTATTTTTGTGTCCACTTACATCTCCAAAGTAGCATGTTTTCATCTATTATGCCGTTCTTTATTTACAAATAACTGCATTTATATTTTAGAATGCATTCATGTGGAATAATCGGTTTAAACTTTATGCATTCGCTTCTTTAAAAAGAAGCATAATTGGGGGCGGGGCCAAGCCAGCAAGCTGAGCAGACACATGAAAGCTGGGCTCCTGCTTTACTTGCCGATTTCATACAGATACTCGCCACAATCGAGACAATAAGCAAACCAGGGTGCACTGCCTATGTCAGGGGTGACCCGGTGATAAGCCTGATACCTGAACTGAGCGTTTTGGAGATCGGGAGCCCAGGGTGGATAGCTGCGGCCTACAGATGGCGGAACCGGGGAGAGGCGGCCGCTCTCCTCGCCCTAACATTAGAGGTACAGACCCACCAACGCCCTGCTTCCCCCCCCCTGGACCGGCGGGGGTCATCCCGGTCCAGCCCTGAGGGGTAACCTTCCTGCCCGGGCCCCAAGGGTGGAACCCAGCGAGCAACGAGAAGCAGCACAACCAGACAAAATGGCCGCCGCCACGTGTGCTCGAGATACGGAGAAGCCTAACCTCGAGACCAAGCTGGACGAATTATTCGCCAGGTTCTGGAGGACAATAGCAACCAGGGAGCAACAGGCCAAGGCATGCAAACCTGTCACAGTGTTGCCGGTTAACTCCCAACAAGAGTGCACACCTCCTCATGTAAATAAAGTCCACAAACGTCACCGTGGACGGCAAAAACGAAGAGCCCGAAAGCCCAAGAGACTACCACTGCCAAAGGCGGCGACCCATCACAGCAAGTGTCTGGCGAAATTAAACCTTCCTGAGAGGCATGAACAGACGACTCTGCAGCAGCGGAACACTGCGTCAAATAAAGACTGATCACGGGCAGACCACGACTCAACTCCTCCGCCGACCTCATCCAGAGGTGTATCCTCACCCGGGCAGACCCCGGAGGCAACACCACGACCCGCAGCACAGCACCTCACACAGGCTACCCCACGATAGCAGGTCCACTTCACCGGAGCGGGGCTCTGATCTCGCAGTTGCACAGACCTCATGCATCATACGGAGTGGCTTGCTATACTATACCACCAAGCAGATCCCTGCAACCAGGCAGCAGGCCTTGAGATCTGGAGTCGGCTAGGGGACTACCTTAAAATGGCTACCGGAGTCCAACACCTACTTCGGGTTCTGCTGGGACACTTGCGGACTTTACCTACACTGCGGACATATTTTATATAGAAAGCAGAGGACTCTATTTACGGCAAAAGAGCAAAGTTTGCCTTGATTTTATGCATGTTGCTTTTCTTGTTTGTTTTGCTTATTTTTTGTTTTTGTGTTTTTTTGCTCTATATCTGCCGCATATCTGTAAGTACACACTAAGTACTAACCCCAATGCCCAATATCCTAATAGCGCTGGGTACTTGCAATTTAACTTAGCATACAACTCTGCTCATGCCGGGGGCCGTGGTGGTGGGGGGGAGAGTACCACTCAGGACCTAGCGATTACATGCTGAGCCTCTCCTAGCATAGCCTCAATATCCTGTTTCCAAAATTAGTTTAGCATACTTACCTTTGTGATCACTAATCTATAGCCTTAATGGTTAGGAAGGCTCTAGTTATTCGTAAGCTTAACACCTATGTAAAGGTAGACACATCAGCCTGTTATGATGATGTTCAATTCAACATGTTACTAACCTATGTCAGTCACGTCAATTTACCTCTTGTAAACATACCTATTGCTACTGCCACTCGCAATGACTAACCTTATGATTTACTCAGCATTACTCTAACGAAAAAAAAAAATGTGCAGAAAATATTAATGCAGCAACTGTTATGCCTGAAAATATGCTCGAGGATTGCTATTGGGGCACCACGAGTCTGGATGTTCTACACTCAAAGCACAATAAAAATAAAGAATTTAAAATTAAAAAAAAAGCATAATTCTGCCCTAGGTATTTTAAGTCTACTTGATACAACCAACTCAGGTTTTTTTTTTTTGTTGTATTCATTATAAATTAACGCATTAAGTTTCCTGTAAATGCTGTGCAAATGTCATACTTGACAAATCAATGGGAGGAGTATTGGCATGCATGCACAGTCTTTTCCCAGTTAAAAGCAATGGGAGCTAATTAACACTGCTTTCAGCTTCCATGAATATTTATAAAGTGTACTGGTGTACATGAGAAACTGCTGCTTATTTCCATCCGTAGCTGTACTGCAAGGTCTGTGCTGAACCCACGCTGACAGTATGAATATGAACTTTTTTTTTTTTTTTAACTTCTTTATAGGAAGAGTTATGAAGTGCACAAAGCATTAATCTGGCTTCACCTGTGCTGGGATAACATCTGAGTGACTTTCTGGTCCATGTATGAATTTACTTTTTTAAGGCATTTATTTACGTAAACAGAATTTTTCAGCTAGTCCAAGTCAAAGGAACATGTCGTTATATCTTGCAAAGTATGGTACTTAATGGCGGGTCATAGTAAGTCTTAACATTTTTGTATGAGACTATTTGCAAATTGGTGTGAGCTGGGTTAAATCCCTGCTCATACAAAGGAACCCAGATATCCATCAATACCTGGCACTATTGTCAGCTTGCCCCACAATGAAATCCTCATGGTTCAAAGGATCGTGCTCAGCTGTGGTGATTCTCTAATCCTGGTGGGGATCAAGCTTGAGCATGTACTCCCTAAATGTCCACCTGCTAATTGTGTTCAGTGCTGGACATGTTTTGCCAGTAGCCCAGTTTCAGCATTACAGGGAGATCCCCGGTCATGCTGAAAACATGGATGGTTTAACCCCAAAATCTGTGTTCCAGCACCAGATCGCTCTACCACCCTATTCTTTTATCAGACATCTTGGATAACTGAAGGCTTGGGCAGGGGCACCTCTAAGCCAATTAGATCCCCCATTGGTACAAAAAATACCAAACACTCTTAAGTGTTCCCAAACCAGTCCTCTTCCCCCACCAGCCCAGGATTTAGGGATTACCCATTTGTGTCGAAGGCAGTGGTTCCGAAACTTTTTAGGTTCAAGGCACCCTTAATATTTCAATATTTTTCCAAGGTGCCCCAAGTCAAAACCATTTTTTAGTTTATATACAGCGCAGCGGCATATACTGGGCCCCTGTTCGGCAGAAATGCTTGTTCAATCGCAGATCCAGACCCACTCTCACGAGATTCAGAGTGTTGCACCAAATTCACGAGAGTAGAACCCCTGGTCCCCTTTCTCTCTGTCTCTCTCTCCCGCTACCCTCCGGCTGCAGCATTACACTGCTAGGGGGCTGGTGGGGAGATCTCTCATCTCCACTCCGGTCCTGCAGCACTGGCAGGGGAGAGTGAGGCACAGTTCCTGATGCTATGATCATAGTACCAGGAAAATATCTTGTGGCGCCCCTGTGTGGCACAGTTAGGGAACTGCTTGTCAAAGGTGTTTTTAGAAAGCGTTAACACCTTAGGCACAACTGGGTAGTACTTTAATCCTGGGGTGGTTCCCTTTATATATTTAAATGTTTCTGTCATATCCTCCCGTCTTGTCTTTCCTCCAAGCTATACATGTTAAGATCCTTTAACCTTTCCTGGTAAGTTTTAACCCGCAATCCATGAATCAGTTTAGTAGCCTTTCTCTGAACTCTCTCTAAGGTATCAATATCCTTCTGAAGATACGGTCTCCAGTACTGTGTACAATACTCTGTGAGGTCTCACCAGTGTTCTGTACAATGGCATGAGCACTTCTCTCTTTCTACTGCTAATACTGCTCCCTATACAACCAAGCATTCTGCTAGCATGTCCTGCTGCTCTATTACATTGTCTGCCTACCTTTAAGTCATCAGAAATAATCACCCCTAAAATCCCTTTCCTCAGATGTTGAGGTTAGGACTCTATCAAATATTCTGTACTCCTTTCTTTTAGGATATAAATGTTAAAGGAACACTATAGTCAACTAAATAACTTTAGCTAAATAAGGCAGTTTTAGTGTATAGATAATTCCCCTGCAATTTCACTGCTCAATTCACTGTCATTTAGAAGTTAAATAATTTTGTTTCTGTTTATGCAGCCCTAGCCACACCTCCCCTGGCTATGATTGACAGAGCTTGCATGAAAAAGAAACTGGTTTCACTTTCAAACAGATGTAATTTACCTTAAATAATTGTATCTCAATCTCTAATTTGAACTTTAATCACATACAGGAGGCTCTTGCAGGGTCTAGCAAGCTATTAACATAGCAGAGGATAAGAAAATCTTAATTAAACAGAACTTGCAATAAAGAAAGCCTAAATAGGTCTCTCGTTACGGGAAGTGTTTATGGAAGGCTGTGCAAGTCACATGCAGGGAGGTGTGACTAGGGTTCATAAACAAAGGAATTTAACTCCTAAATGGCAGAGGATTGAGCAGTGAGGCTGCAGGGGCATGTTCTATCCACCAAAACTGCTTCATTAAGCTAAAGTTGTTCAGGTGACTATAGTGTCCCTTTCAATCTCAACAACTGCCCCAGAAAATACCAAAGCCAAGGAATACTGCAAAAAAAAATATTTTTTAAATAGCTAAACTTAGTAAGAAACCTGAACCAGTTAGTCCTGCCCAGGCAGGCTGTTTACTTGTTCCTTCTGGGGAGGCTGAACTCCCCAGGTAGTACCATGTTAAGCATGGTATATGAGACCCAAACAAATAGAATTATACAGGGGAATAAACTATCCCTGCCTGTCAATTGGAACAGGAAAAAAAAAGACTGGGGTGCTCAGGGGGAAGGGAGATTTTATTGAGTTTGTTCCTGTCCTGACAGCTGGGGAGGAGCTTTATCCATTAGTAATGCTGCCATGTTTAGCCAGGAGAGTTGTGAATCAACGACCAGATAGTGGCCTTGCATATTTATTCCGGAATGGCAAAGGCCTGGGAGACAAAGTGAGACTGTAAGAAAAGAGTAGAAAGATCCAAACATTTAGAAGCCAGCAAAATGGCTTCCTTAATCCAACATGCAATAGAGCCTTTGGATGCCATTTTGCGCTTTTTAAGGCCTTGGTATAGAATGAACAGCTGTTTAAACTTTAGAAATTCACTAGGTCTGCCAAGCTAGATCTACAGTGTTCTTTTTCATTATGAGTATTAACAAAACGTTAAGAAGTATAATTTTGTGGTTAATGTTAAAGGATCACTATAGTGTCAGGAAAACAAGTTCGTTTTCCTGACACTATATAACCCTTAGGTCCCTCCCACCCTCAGGGCCCCCCTCCCACTGGGACTGGTAGGTCATTGTAGTGGAGTATTTTCCCTCCTGCAAAGAAGTGGTGGAGCCTATAGAGATCATTATATTCATAGTGTGCGAAATCTTTGGGAGACATGCCGGGGGCAAATGCTTTGTTGCGCAGTATGGGAGTTAGTGATGTCAGTTTATTGATGATGGGGAATTTTCTGGTGATCTTGTCCCATACGCTTATGGAGTTGGCTAGTGGTGGAGGTATGGATGGTGATGTGGGACGGGATTTTTGGGGCACCCAGATGTAGAGGGATGGGAAATCAAAGCCGAAGAGATCATGTTCTAGTTCTACCCAGCGTTTGACCCTTATTGGGGAGTGTATATTTTTTATATGGGTGAGTTTTGTAGCATGGTAATAGTGCTGGAAGTGGGGTAGGCCTAGTCCTCCCGTTCTGTTGGGGATGTTTCACTCTGGGTCATTTGTTTGACCATATGAATTTGTCAATTTGTGATTGTAGATATTTGAAGTCCGAAGTTGGAATGGTTATGGGGAGGGTTTGAAAGAGGTAGAGAAAGCATGGCAGTAGATTCATCTTTACTGAGGCTAGGCGTCCCAGCCACGATAAAGACAAGTCCCTCCAGCTGTTAAGGTCTTCCATGGCTCGTTGTAGCATCGGGGTAAAGTTTAGGGCATAAGTGCGGCGCAGTACTGCTGGTAATGAAATTCCCAGATATGATATGTGAGAAGTGTTTTATCGGAATGCATATGTATGTTGTAGTATGTTTTTCTCTTCTGTCCCCATATTCAGCATCAGTGCTTCGGTTTTGTCTAGGTTTAGCCTATATTTGTTAACCTCTTATTATTTGTCTAGGAGCTTCAGAAGTGATGCTTAATGGGTTCGTGAGCGTTAGAATGAGATCATCGACATAAGCTGCCGCTTTATATGTCTGTGTGTGTATTGTGATGCCTGTGATTGATGGTGTGGAGTGAATGAGGTGTAGTAGGGGTTAGAGGGAAAGGGCGAAGAGGATGGGGGATAGTGGGCATTCCTGCCTAGTTCTGTTGTATATGGAGAAGGAAGGTGGAGTCATGTTGGCAGTGGGGGTGGAATATATTGTTTGCAGAGCATCTAGAAAAAGTTTAGGGAATCCAAATTTCTCCAAGGTGGCAAAAAGGAATGGCCAGAGTAATCTAACAAATGCCTTCTCAGCGTCGTGGGATAGGAGTATGGTCGGTATAGAGCAGCAGTTGGCAACCCAGATCAGGTCCAGCATCCGTCTGGTATTGTCGCTGGCTTGGCTTGAGGGGATAATCCCACCTGATCTGGGTGGACCAGTTTGGTGAGGTATGGCAGGAGTCAGTTGGTGAGTATCTTGGTAAATATTTTCACGTCTACGTTCAGTAGGGAGATGGGTCTATAGTGGCCTGGTTCTGTGTGGGGTTTATTGGGATTGGGTAGGAGGCATATGTTTGCCTGTAACATTTCTTTGGGGAGTGGATCTCCCCGTAGTAGGGAGTTGTATAGATGTCCTAGGTGGGATAGGAGGATGTCTGGAATGTCTTGTAATAAATGCCCGAGTATCTATCTGGTTCTGGGCTTTTGTTAGGTTTTGTTGCGCCTATTGCGGTGGCCAACTCCTGTTTGGTGATTTCTGTAGAGAGCTGAGTGATTGTGGTTTTGGGAGGCGTGGGTAGTTGTACTTTTTCTGAGAAAGAGTGTATTTGGTCCCGCGGGTTCGTATTGTGTTGTCTGTGCTGGGGGGAATGGTCATATAAACCAGAGAAATAATTTTTAAATGTCACTGCGATTCTTGTGGGGATATCTGTGTTATGTCCTGATGGAGTGCGGATGTTGGTAATGTGTTTGACTTGGATGCGTTTGCGTAGCCTACGTGCAAGGAGTGTGTCGGCTTTGTTGGATTTTTCGTAAAACATTTGTTTAGTCCATTGTAGGGCTTTTGTTGCGTCGGCTGCCATCGCATTCTTGAGGGCTTGTCTCTGGTGTTGGAGTTGTGAGGTCAGAAGTGGGGGTTTGTTTGTGTTTGGATTCGAGATTCTTTATTGTTGTGAGTACGGTCTCTATGTGTGCGAGGTGTTTTTTTGTGTGTGCTGTGGCTATGCTGATGAGGGAGCCTCTGATTACTGCCTCGTGGGCTGCCCATAGGACGGCCGGAGACTGTACTGAGTTCTTGTTTGTGTTGAAGTAGTTTGTGAATTCAGTCTTGATTTATAGTATTGTTTGGGGGTCATGGAGAAGGATGGGATTTAGTCTCCAGGACCAGGGTCTTGAGATTTGTGGCGGTTGGATTGTCATTGAGATTTCCGCGTGGTCAGACCACGTTATGTTACCGATTGAGGTTGCGGTATTGAGCGGAAGGAGAGATGGGGAGATAAGGAAGTAATCTATGTGGGAATAGGTGCAGTGTGGGTTTGAATGGAATGTATAATCCTGTGTTGTTGGATGGTGTATGTCTATCAGCATAGTCTGGGATATGAAGTCTGCCATGAGTCTGTCCGATCTGGAGGGTTGTGTTGTGGGCTCGGATGGCTGTTTTCGTCTATCTATCGTTGGTGATAGTGTAGCGTTGAAGTCCCCACCAATGATTCTGTAGCAGTTAGGGTGAAGGCTGAGATGGGGTTGTAGATTAATCCAGTATTGTGGGTCTGGGTTTGAAAGAGCATAGATGGATGTGATCACTTATTTGAATGGGCTAATTGTTCCTGCTATCTTAAGGAAGTGTCCGTGAGGGTCTTTGTGTGTGGTTCTGACTTGGAAGGGGCATGATTTCCTTAATAGGATTGCCACTCCATTGTGTTTGCCTGAGTTTGAGTTGGCCAGGTGGCAGTCCTTAAAGTGTCAGCTCTGGAGAGGGAAGGGTCATGTGTCCGAGTAGTGTGTTTTCTGCAGGAGAATGATGTCTGCTATGGTACGGTTGGCCCAACGCATAAGTTGATGTAGTTTCCAGGGGTTATTTAGCCCTTTGCAGTTAATTGAGATGCATGTCAGATTAGTAGGCATTGTAGTATGGGTGGGTGTGTTGCACTGGTGTGGGAGAGGTGTAGAGACTGATACCCAGGTACAAGGTGCAACCCACTCTGGACGTGAGTAGTTCATGGTTGGTGCACAGGGATGGGGAGGGTTAGCTAGGGCCATCCCTTTTGGTGCTAAAGGCTTTGGGAGGGTTAGAGTGGTATGTCTGGGTCCCCACCTAACCTTCAGTTTAGGAATATGTAAGTAGTGGTAGTTTACTTTGCTCATGGGGTCTGAGTGTGTATAATTCTTGATAGATATATATATATAATATATATAGATATATATATATATATATATATATAATGTGTGTGTATAGATATATACACATATATACACCCTGTTTCAAATTATTATGCACATCCTATTTAAGTAAATAGAAAACCGTAGAAAGGGGTGAGAAAGAATTGAAGAGATTGCTCAGAATCACCAAGTGTGTGTCACTCCAAATCACAGAAAATTAAACAATTGATTGTTTTCAGTGAACAAAAGAGCCCAGAGACACAATGCCATTCATGAGTTAAACTAAAAAAACAAAATATTTAAACTTTGTGACACTAAAATAGAATTTAATAAACAATATGATGAGAGCAAAATATGTGGTAAAAAAACCACATGGATAATATATCAAACATGCAATATTATCATGTATCTGTATGTGTCCTGGAAATATAAAACACAGTACATAGTATAGCCTGTATATGATAATTAAAATAACCCCTTAACGACGAGGGATTGCCATAACGACGAGTGACGGACCTCGTCTGTCACCCGTTAAAATTAACCCTGGATCGCCGCTATCGCGGTGATCGCAGGTGTTAATGGTGCTCCGGTCTGCCTCTGTTTTAGAGGCAGACCTGGAGCACCCGATAGTGCTGCCCAGCACATGTGCTCGTTCTGACAGCATGTCAGAGCAAGCACTTGTGCTTAGTATACTTACACAGCGTAAAAATTTAAAGTTTGAAAAAACTGGAATGGCTTTGTCCCAAATGTGCCCCTCCGATGTCCACATATACCTGGCAAAGGTACATACGGGGGTATTGCTGTACTCAGCCGACATAGCTGAGCAACATATGAAGTATTATACACTGGTAGCACACATAAGGTTTGCAAAATATACTGTGCAAACTCTCTTTGTGTGTCAAAAAGGCAGAAATAAACACTTATTACCACTACACTTGATACAAGCTAGCGGAAAAATGATCCCATGCTAAGGTTCAAAATATACCTTTTGAAATACTCTGGGGTGTCTACTTTAAGAAATGGTAGGCCTTTGTGGGGTAGTTTGAATTTAAACCCTGCTAAGATGCTTGGAAATTGCACATAGACCCAGCGTCAAAGTTAGGTAAAAACTGATATGGCTTGGTCTCCTATATGGCACTGTAGCTTCACGAAATAGTGCCAAAGACATTCATTGGGGGTGTCTTTTTACTCAGAAAACTTAGCCAAGCATAATTTGGGGGGTTTGAACTTAGTGGCACATGTGAAATATACAAAAAGCCCAGCAAAAATGCAACCCATATGTAAAAAACGCACAAAATTATTTTTTATCACATACTTTAGCATATATTGGTGAAATAATTGGGGCATGTTAAGGCACAATATGCACCTTATGAGATACCCTGGAGTGTCTACTTTTACAAATGGTAGGCCTTTGTGGGGGTTTTTTTTTGAACAGTTAAACTGGTATAATACCCCAAATGGAAGCATAGGCTTATTAAATCTGTCTCTTAAAATTCCACTGTGAATACTGAAAAGGACAGGTCTCCTATATGGCACTGAAGCTTCACAAAATAGTGCCAAAGACATACAATGGGGGTGTCATTTTACTCAGAAGACTTAGCTGAGCATAATTTGGGGGGGTTGAACTTTATGGCACATGTGAAATATACAAAATGCCCAGCAAAAATGCAATCCATGTGTAAAAAACACACAAAATTATTTTTTACCACATACTTTGGCATATATTGGTGAAAAAATAGGGGCATGTTAAGGCACAATATGCACCTTATGAGATATCCTGGAGTGTCTACTGTTACAAATGGTAGGCCTTTGTGGGCTTTTTTGAACAGTCAAACTGTTGTAATACCCCAAATGGAAGCATAGGCTCATTAGATCCGTCTCTCAAAATTCTACTGTGAATACTGAAAAGAACAGGCCTCCTATATGGCACTGTAACTTCACGAAATAGTGCCAAAGACTTACAATGGGGGTGTCATTTTATTCAGCAGATGTAACTGAACACAAAATAAAACTTTAAACAGGAATAGCACACACCAACTTTACAAAATACACATGAGAATTTCTTTGTTATAAGTTTGTGTGCCAAAAACCAAAAAAAAACCAAAATTTTACTCCAATATTTAGCAGAGGTTGGCGGTGAAATGGCTACGTAGAAAGTGTCAAAGCAACCCTTGGTAAATACCCTGTGATGTCTACTTTAAATAAATATATACTTTTGTGTGGCAATTTTGTTTTCTTCTATGGCTATTAGGCTTTCAAGACAAACATACCAAATTCTAAAATCGCTCCACATTAAAAGTTTATTTTACTCCTTGTGCTTTGTGACCTGTAACTACCAAAAAATACTTAAAATCCCAGACGCATTATATATTCTGTAAATCAGAACAACTAAATGAATTTATTTTTAATTACTTTCCTTAACCTGCACTAATTATGCACACATTATTATTGCAAAAATTGCAAAAAAAAAACAAAATTTTTCTTTTTTTTTGCATTTTTCTGTATTTTTTTATAATAAATAAGCATTTATATATATATGTGTTACATCAAATTAAATCCCTTTCTGTCCTTTAAAAAACGATATATAATATGTGTCGGTGCAATAAAATGCAAATTGCAGTTGAACACAAACAGCAAGAAATGAAAAAAAGCTGTTGTCATTAAATGAAAGACAAGCTTCTGAAGCTCTGTCCTTAAGGGGTTAATGGAGAAGGAAATATCTTACTCACGTGGTGCTGAGCCGTTAGGAAGTGGCTCAGACTATAAGCGCCTTAATTAATAAATTGGAGACCGAAATGCTGGAACTGAGATACAGGAAGTTCACTGCAAGCTCCCTACTTTCCTTCTGGACAATTTCCACAAACGTCAAACAAAGGTGTAGGTACAGGAACATGTATCTTTAATAATAACATAAAATACAGCAAAATACTGGATCTCCAATAAAGGATAAACTGCATGACGCGTTTCGACCTGTGGTCTTTGTCAAAGTGCTAAATCTCATAACAACTTATTCAGTTTAAATATTTTTTTAAAAGGCGCGTTTTCTATCTTCGTTGTACAACTTCCGGTTTCCGTTTGCGTCATTTCCTCTCGAGGTCAGCGGTCGTTTTCTGTCTCTGTCAGATGACGAACTTCCGGTTTCGGGTAGAAAGTTCTAAATGCGCATGTGCGCTAAAATATCCAAATAAAACGTCTATATCGAGCATTTTTACATAGAACTTCATGTTTCACATTATTATATCCTCAAGGTTAAACAGTCATAATAATACAACCTATGTTAAAAATACATATCTTATAATTATACAATACATTCATTTAAATATGTAGAATAAGATATATAAAAATAGTATTAAAAAAATAGTATTCAGAGCACAGACAGGTTCGTGCAGATAAAGGCACATTGAGGAAGATTTCTGCCAGATCCACGCATCGGATCAAGAGAGCAGCTGCTAAAATACCATTACATAGCAGCAAACAGATATTTAAAGCTGCTGGTGCCTCTAGAGTCCCACGGACATCAAGGTGTACAGTCCTCCAGAGTCTTGCAACTGCGCATAAACCTTCTATTTGGCCACCACTCACCAATGCTCACAAGCAGAAACGGCTGCATTGGGCAGAAAAATACATGAAGATTCATTTTCAAACAGTCCTGTTCACTGATGAGTGCCATGGATGGAGTAGTGGATGATTGGTGGACGGCCACCCTGTTCCAACAAGGCTGCAACATTAGCAAGGCAGTGGTGGAGTCATGTTTTGGGCCGGAATCATGGGAAGAGAGCTGGTCGACCCCTTTAGGGTCCCCGAAGGTGTAAAGATGACGTCTGCAAAGTATGTGGAGTTTCTGACTGACCACATTCTTCCCTGGTACAGAAGGAAGAACTATGCTTTCCGTAATAAAATCATCTTCATGCATGACAATGCACCATCTCATGCTGCAAAGAATACCTCTGCATCAATGGCTGCTATGGGGATAAAAGGAGAGAATGTCATGGTGTGTCCTCCATCCTCCCCTGACCTCAATCCTATTGAGAACCTTTGGAGCATCCTCAAGCAAAAGATCTATGAGGGTGGGAGGCAGTTTACATCCAAACAGCAGCTCTGGGAGGCTATTCTGACATCTTGCAAACAAATTCAAGCAGAAACTGTCCAAAAACTCACAAGTTCAAGGGATGCAAGACTTGTGAAGCTGCTATCAAATAAGGGGTCCTATGTTAAAATGTAACGTGACCTGTTAAAATGTTTACAAAGTTAAAATGTTGTTATAAGTTTGATTGAAATAGCTTTTGATTTCTGTAAATATGCTGCAAACACAACAAATGACAATTTTCAGTTCTTTACAACCTATAAAGTGTTTTGAAACTTACTGTGCGCAATAATTTGGAACAATGCATTGTAAGTTTTTTTATGTTTAAAAAAAAATACTGTTATCCTTAGGAGGTTTATTCAATAAAATTTGAATTGTACTCTTAATAGTTGATAACATGAGAATTGTGCTGACTGCTATTTACATCAATTATTTAGGTAAATGAGAAAAATATAATTTGCATAATAATTTGGAACAGGGTGTACATATATATATATATATATATTTTTTATTTTTTTTGTTATTATTGGGTTTAGATATCCCCCCCCCGCATTGGTAGGTTTGTTGAGTTTATATATTCTCCCCCCTCCATTCCGATCCCAACCCTCCCCCGTCCTCCCCCAACTGTTTGTGTGTGATCTGCCCATGCTCCCCACCCCTACTGTTGTCTCTCCCCCCATCAGCGGATATGGTCAGCTGTAGTGCTAGTCAACATTCCTCGTCATAAGGGAGCAAGGTTTACATATGGCCCATTTCCTGGAGTGGGGGACCGGCGTGGTGACGCCCGCGTGCACTGACACCTCATTCACATGAGGCTCTCCCCCAGGTTTGGGGAGAAGGTGATCGGGGCGGGCTGTTGCCTTGAAGGTCGCCATCTTGGAGGTTCTTGCGGACCAGTAACCTAAATGGGTGTCCCCATCGGTATGCCATGCCTGCCTGAGCCAATGTGTTGGTAAGTGGTTTGAGCTCTCTGCATTTGGCTAGGGTAATGGGTGAGATGTCTTGATAGAACTGTAGGGTGATTGCATCCGTGTGGCCGCTATGATGGCTTCTTTATATGTGAAGTAGTGTAAGTGCACAATTACGTCTCTTGGCGCTGTTTGGTTGAGGCTGGGGGTTTTCAAGGCTTTGAGGGCCCTGTCTATGGCCAGATCTTGCGGTGTTGCTTCTGGGAGGAGGGCAACGAATATTTTTTGCAACGCGGCAGGTAACATTTCGATGGTGACTGTTTCTGGAAGGCCTCTGATCCTAATGTTATTGCACCGTGAGCGGTTGTTTAGGTCCTCCATGCCAGTTTCTAGCATCTCCACTCTGGTTCTTAGTGTGGCGAGCTCTCAGTCATAGGTGTTAATCGATTCTAAGAGCTCATCAGCGCGTTGTTCCACTAGGTCCGTCCTCTGCTCTAGGTCTGCTAGTTCTACTTTATGACCCTGGAGCTGTTTTTCGAGCTCTGCAGCCATGTGCTCTTTTATGTCTGCTGCAGCCTTGGTCAGCGGTGTTGAAGCTGGGGCTGCAGCTACTGCGCTCTGAGTCAGAGGCTGAGTCTTCTGTCCTCTGTGAGGAAGATGGCGCCAGGCCTCGTGGGGGTATTCATCTTGAAAATATGACTGATCAGACAAAAAAAATATTTTATTGAAGGGCAGTGATCAAATGAAGCAATTTACTATAACATGGTTTTGCTCCTTTTTAAATCATAATGATAACAGAAACCACCCAAATGGCCCTGATCAAAAGTTTACATAGCTTGAAAGTTTGGCCTTGTTACAGACACACAAGGTGACACATACAGGTTGAAATGGCAATTAAAGGCCACCATGATGACGTAGGACCCAGAGTGACATTACACTCGCGCGAGCACGGGTGTGGATAAGTGAGGACACATCCTGAAAGTAGCATGTCCCTAGTTTGGGGATATCGACGAAAAGCGGAGGAAGGTAGGCTGGTTGCAGTGTAAGATGAGCGGTATCAGACACTAGGGTATGAGACGCAGCTTGGTGCAACTTGGAAATTGGCAGACGCAGGAGGGGACTTCCAGAGCTGCTGCCTGTAGAGCAGGACTGGAGGTGGGGGCAGATTCTGATCCTGAGGCTGGAAAGTTTGGAGCTAAGGGTGGAAGGAGGAGAAAGATAAGTAATGTAAAGAATATTGCTTGAAAAGCTTAAGAATAACTGTACTAGCTAATATTGCTGTGGAAAATCTTTTGTAATAGGGGTCTTGAGTTGGTCTGAATTAAGGATAAGTAACCTTTCTTCTCTGGAAAAAGAGTACAATCTGTTGCACTAAGGATAAGCAGCTAGAACACACTTAATGGGAATAATCATAAAAAATCCCACAACAAAAAGTGAATACAAACAACAAAGTGGTGTGCAGCACAGAATAGGTAATACCACAAGTGAGATGCAATGCATACACACTTGTGGTATTACCTATTCTGCGCTGCACACCACTTTGTTGTTTGTATTAACCTTTCTTCTCTGTATCTTTCTTCTTTGTACCTTAAAGTCCATTCTTTCTACACTAATTCCTGAAATAACTTGAAGTAATTTGAAACAGTGATAAATTCTATATAGCGGGAAGAAAGAGAAAAAAAGGCAAGGGAAGGGTTATTTTAACACTGCTTAGAAATTGAAAGTGGGTGGGGGGGTCGGGGTCATTTTTAGCTCAAGCAGAAAACCCCCTCAAGACTATTTTTTTGCTTTGACCCTAAACCAATTTAGCGTGAATCTTCCGCTCTTAGACTAGTCATCTCATCCTTGCCCATTGATAAATACCAATTGAGAAGAGAAGATAAATGGCTCCCAAAAAAGAGAAAGCGCATGAGATGGACAGATCTGACATTGTTTTCACCTAAATCTAATACAATTAATCAGCAAGAACAAAATAGAAGATTAATTTCTCCCGATCAACATGAGATCTCAACTACTTCTATACAGATAGAAAAAAACTCAGTATAGAAAAAGCAAGACGGTTTCTCAGGAAAGCTTAGCGTTAGAGGAATTGTATGAGAAAAGCCGCAATTACTTCAAGTCACACATATCTGATGTAAAGTCAGAAGTACTGACTTGAAGCAGAAAGTAACAACACAAGATGGTGTCTTGAAAGATACACGTGAAGAAATTAAATTTCAACAAACTCAAAATTCTATATTAAAGAATCAGGTAAAGCAACTGGAAATCCAAACCATTGACATGATAGATGATAGATCATGGATAAACAATCTAAGAGTTAAAGGAATATCAAAAGAGATTAAATCAGACAAGCTGGAGCAGTACCTGAAGGAGTACATGGCTCAATTTTTAGTTCCACAGGACATCGGATCAGCTCCCTTTGAGAGATACCATAGAATCCACAAACCGGACAATATTCAAACAACAGAGCCAAGAGATGTGATTGTGCGATTCTTGGATTGCAATATTAAAGATCCTCTGGATAGAAAAACTCGCTACAATAAGCCTCAGGATCCAAAGTTCACTGCAATCTCTACCTTCTCGGATCTCTCAGCAGCCACAAGAAACAGCCGTAAATGCTTCAGAGATATGACTGTAACAGCACCCCTAGGCATGAAAGGGGTTAAACGCCGTTTAGAGGATATTCCCTTCCAGATATATAGGCAGCTACCAAAGACACCAATCCGCCGAACAGGAAACCATATGAATGCTGTAAACAGCCGAACCGGAACAATACGAATGCTCCAAACAGTCAAATAGGAAAAACCATACGAAAGGTTTACACTCCTAGCCAGGGCCGCCATCTGTCAGTCTCGGGCCCCACATTCCCTCTCTGCACACATAGATAGCGAATATCGCCGCGAGAGTTATTAGAAGAGAGGAGAAGAGAAGAGTAGAAGCAGTGTGCTGGGCCCCCTCTGCGGTAACAGGGAGCCAGGCGGGCCCCCCCCCCATGCCACCGGACCACCAGGGATGGAATCTCCCCCCTCCCTGGACACAGGTAAGAAGCAGGGAGGGGGAGAAACATTTAATTAAATTAATATAAAATGTATGTGAAAATGCCCCTTCCTCCCTCCCCCCAGATTGCACATTTACACACACACTGCATACCCTAACACAAAACACACACTGCATACACTAACACAACACACACACACTGCATACACTAATACAATACACACATCATACACTAACAAAACACACACTCTGCATACACTAATACAACACACACTCTGCATACACTAACACAACACACACTGCATACACTAATACAACACACACACTGCATACACTAACACAACACACACACTGCATACACTAATACAACACACACACTGCATACACTAACACAACACACACTCTGCATACACTAACACAGCACACACTGCATACACTAACACAACACACACTGCATACACTAGTACATCACACACTCAGCATTCACTACACTGACACACACTCTGCATTCATTACACTAACACACACTCTGCATTCACTACACACTAACACACTCTCTGCATTCACTACACTGACACACTCTCTGCATTCACTACTCTAACACACACTCTGCATTCACTACACACTAACACACTCTCTGCATTCACTACACTAACACACACTCTGCATTCACTACACACTAACACATGCTCTGCATTCACTACACATTAACACACTCTCTGCATTCACTACACTAACACACACTCTGCATTCACTACACACTCTCTGCATTTACTACACTAACACACACTCTGTATTCACTACACTGACACACACTTTGCATTCACTACACATTAACACACTCTCTGCATTCGCTACACTGACACACACTCTGCATTCACTACACATTAACACACACTCTGTATTCACTACACTGACACACACTCTGTATTCACTACACTGACACACACTCTGCATTCACTACACACTAACACACTCACTGCATCCACTACACTGACACACACTCTGCATTTGCTACACATTAACATACTCTGCAATTACTATACTAACACACACTCTGCATCCGCTACACACCAACACACGCTCTGCATTCACTACACATTTACACACACTCTGCATTCACTACACACTAACACACACATTACATTCATTACACTGACACACTATGCATTCACTACACACTAACACACACTCTGCATTCATTACACACTAACACACACTCTGCATTCACTAAACTATGCACACACTCTGCATTCACTAAACTATGCACACACTCTGCATTTACTATACTGACACACACTCTGCATTCACTACACTAACATACAGTCAGCATTAACTGTACACACAGCATCCACTACACAAACATCCTGTATTCACAGTACACACACTACATCCACCACAAATTGAAACACTCTGCATTCACTATACACAGATACTGCGTCTAATGTATACACTACATCCACTACAGACACTGCATCCACTAAACACATTTAATCTAGTACACACAAACACTACATCCACTACACAAACACACACTACATCACTGTACACACACTACATCCATTACTCAAACACACTCTGCGTTCACTATACACACTGCATCCGCTACACAAACACACACTCTGCATTCACTGCACAAACAGTATCTAATACACACAAACACTACATCCATTACACACATTCTAATTCACTTCCACTATACACACCACATTTAGTCCTGCATCATTGTCAGTGGACTAGGTAGGGAGTGGGCAGGGCCCGGGGGGGAGGGAAGAAGGGGGGGGCACTAGCACACACTCTGCGTTCACTACACACTAACACACTCTCTGCATTCACTACACTAACACACACTCTGCATTCACTACACTGACACACACTCTGCATTCACTACACTGACACACTCTGCATTTGCTACACATTAACACACTCTGCATTCACTACACTAACACACATTCTGCATCCGCTACACACTAACACACTCTCTGCATTCACTACACTTTAACAAACACTCTGCATTCACTACACTAACACACACTCTGTATTCACTACACTGACACATACTTTGCATTCACTACACATTAACACACTCTCTGCATTCACTACACTGACACACACTCTGCATTCACTACACATTAACACACACTCTGTATTCACTACACTGACACACACTCTGTATTCACTACACTGACACACACTCTGCATTCACTACACACTAACACACTCACTGCATCCACTACACTGACACACACTCTGCATTTGCTACACATTAACATACTCTGCATTCACTATACTAACACACACTCTGCATCTGCTACACACCAACACACGCTCTGCATTCACTACACATTTACACACACTCTGCATTCACTACACACTAACACACACACTACATTCATTACACTGACACACTATGCATTCACTACACACTAAGACACACTCTGCATTCATTACACACTAACACACACTCTGCATTCACTAAACTATGCACACACTCTGCATTCACTATGCTGACACACACTCTGCATTTACTATACTGACACACACTCTGCATTCACTACACTAACATACAGTCAGCATTAACTGTACACACAGCATCCACTACACAAACATCCTGTATTCACAGTACACACACTACATCCACCACAAATTGAAACACTCTGCATTCACTATACACAGACACTGCGTCTAATATATACACTACATCCACTACAGACACTGCATCCACTAAACACATTTAATCTAGTACACACAAACACTACATCCATTACACAAACACACACTACATCACTGTACACACACTACATCCATTACTCAAACACACTCTGCGTTCACTCTACACACTGCATCCGCTACACAAACACACACTCTGCATTCACTGCACAAACAGTATCTAATACACACAAACACTACATCCATTACACACATTCTAATTCACTTCCACTATACACACCACATTTAGTCCTGCATCATTGTCAGTGGACTAGGTAGGGAGTGGGCGGGGCACGGGGGGAGGGAAGAAGGGTGGGGGCACTAACACACACTCTGCGTTCACTACACACTAACACACTCTCTGCATTCACTACACTAACACACACTCTGCATTTGCTACACATTAACACACTCTGCATTCACTACACTAACACACATTCTGCATCTGCTACACACTAACACACTCTCTGCATTTACTACACATTAACAAACACTCTGCATTCACTACACACTAACACACACACTACATTCATTACACTGACACTACTCAAACACACTCTGCGTTTACTATACACACTGCATCCACTACACAAACAAATAATCTGCATTCACTGCACAAACAGTATCTAATAAAAATTTCTGATGGTGGTCTGGAACAGCATACAATAACTGGAACTGAAAAAGCATACAATAAATCCCCCCAAGAACGAGACAAGGCTCTGTGTTGAGAGTCAAAACAGGAACAGACTGAGCTGTGTCTTTATTGGCCTTATATACACATTTTACAGACAAAGTTCCACCCACAGGGTTTTGCAGAACAACCAATCAATACGTACAATACACTCAGACACTCCCAGCAATTACACACAAAATCCTCCCCTCTGCCTGTGATATAATTACTGAACACAATGGGTTAATGTAATTATCACAGGCAGAGAAATACAGTTTTTACACATGTACTATAACTTTAAAACTATATATTCAATATTTATAATACATATTACATATACTTACAATATTACAATACATATTATTATTCAGCACACTTTAATTACAAACATATCCAAAATTCAGGTGATTCCTTCCAGGGTTAAAAAGTTAGTCGGAAGTCCTTAATGAGCACATTTTCATGCCCAAAACAGTTCCATAGATTTGGGCTGTGCGGTCGGTCAATTTCACACTGAAGAAATGACTAAGTCCATTTGAACGAGCATTCGAATCTTCGAACGGGACTTAGTCTCCAGCCGCAGTGTCAAAGTGGAGGAGAAGGTACGGGTCAGTGGTGTTCAAGCAATTGGGTAGCCGAAAACAGTTCCATAGACTTAGCTGCATACACCGCTGACCGCGTTCGGCTGAATTAAAATGGCCGCCACCACGTGTTCGTTTGTCGAATGGCGGTCACTTCGACTGCTTTGGCACTTCAGCTGTATCCGAAGTACCAATTTGAAGTTGCAACACTGCTCCAAAGTAATTAAAGGGCCAGAAACAGCATAATAAAATACAATATGCCCAAATACGGTATTTAAAGGGCCAAATCTCCATAATCACATGGCAAGAGGCTGACAAGTAGTTCTCTCCAGGCACAAGTGGCGAAGGGCACTTCGTCACATCGACCATTACATTAAGGAACAAGAATATCCCATACAAATGGGGCTTCCCTACTAAACGTTTGATCTTCTATGGCGACAGAACCATCATACTAAGTGATCCATCTGAAGCTCTAACTAGAATGGGTATCCCCCTTTAAAATCTATCTTATGGAAAGTGGAGACCTAAGGAGAAAAATAATGAGGTGGAAGGAAGAGAAAAGATAGAAAAGTGGCAATAAATAAAGAATGAGACAAGGTGAAAGAAGGGATATGGGAAAGAAAAAGGGAGAATAAAGGAAGGAGAAAAAAAAAACCACAACTTCAAACAGAGGGAAATGGGAGAATTTTGAACACCTAATCTCAAATGTTGTTATGGTTAAACCTCACAATACACGGACACATTTATCATAGCGGATACTTAGCTCATGAAAATTATATAGCACTCTATTGCGGCTGATAGTGAGGAATTTTCTGTCAGGAATTTCCCCTTTGCCATGGTCTTTTGTATTATTCCCAACAGCGGCGATACTTGCCTTATCCAGGGGACGGCCAACTACACACAAGCCGCGCGAGGCTCGATCTCCTCTACTGAGCGGGCCGCGTGCACCGCAGTGAGCAGTCATGCCCGCCTCGCACTAGGAGCGCAGCTCGTGTCCCAAGTGCGCTTTTAAAGGGGCAGTGGGAGCCACAAGTGGGTACAGGCTCACATTGGCCCACGTCATTCAGGCACCCCCACACACGCATGTTTTGGGGGCGTAGGCATGAAGTGAGCCAATCAAATGTTAATTAAAGGCTATTTAAACCTCCCTTTCCACTTTGCCCTATCGTGGTTTCTGTTTCAGTACTCTTTATTGCGTTCCTTGATCTATTGTGTTTATTCTGGTATTGACCTTGGCTCCTGGCTCGGAGTTTATCTTTAACCCTTTCCTGTCTTGTTTGTCCGTCTGACTGATTACTGTGTACATTACTCTGGCTAGTTCTTGTTTTCATTGTCTCTCCATTACCCTGACCTTGACTCGTCTATGATTACGCTTTATCTCTGTCTGACGTTTAGTCTGGCCATTCTAAGGCCCGGTAATACGTTATTTCCTTGTCTTGTCCCTTGCTATCCTAAACTCTGCGTGTTGGGGTATTACACCGTGACATCTATAAATTATACATTATAATCACACATGGAAAGTGAGAAGTAGGATTAAGTTAACTAATTATAAAGGTAGTTCTATTAATAGTGTGGCACTTGAATATTACATTATGAAGAATAATTGAAAGTGGAGTTTAATACACTTGGGGAAATATAGCAAATTTAACACAATAAGGAAACTTTGAATACACTATTATCACTAACAAGAGACAGAGATCTAGGGTTAAACATTTAGGATTATAAGAAATGGACCCCTGATCATAAGTATAATACTGAAAGTGAGTTAGATTTGAAAATAAGATCAAATTGAACATGTCTATTTATAGGCTTCATATCTAAGTAAAATTTTAAATATTATTAAGAATAGAAACAACATTTTCATTTAGGGTCCCCAAACGCCACTCATGGGTGGGGACATGGGGGGGACATTAGGTCACCCCTTTAATTAATTAGGGTCCCCACCTGCTGCTCATGGGTGGGGACATTAGGTCTCCCCCATTATTTATTTATTTAGGGCCCCCACCCGCCGCATGGGTGGGAACCAGGGGGGACATTAAGTCCCCTCTTTAATTAATTAGAGTCCCCACCCACCACTCATGGGTGGGGACCTGGCGGGGACATTAGGTCCCCCCATTATTTATTTAGGGTCCCCATTCACCGCTCATGGATGTGGACCTGGGGGGACATTAGGTCCCCCTTTTAATTAATTAAGGTCCCCACCCACCGCTCATGGGTGGGGACCTGGGGGGAACATTGAGCATCATTAGGTCCTCCCATTTATATTAATAGCCCCCACCCGTGGGAGGTGGTGCGGGGGGGCACTATATCCTCCCATTTTATATATATTCTGTTCCCCACCATGGTGGAACAGGGAGGTGGTTCGGGGGGGCACTATATCCTCCCATTTTATATATATTCTGTTCCCCACCATGGTGGAACAGGGGACCTGTGCGCTGCCAGTTCCCTCCTTGTTTTTTGGGTTTTTTTTGGTGCATGCGCAGTGTTATCTACTCCGTGCTGTGCGGATTTACTCCCCTGCAGCAGGGAGTCTATTAAATGAACTAAACTAAAAGAAAAGGTAATGCATTCGGCCTTTACCCTTTCATTTAGTTTATATTTTGTAGGTAGGGCTTTCGTTTATGTTTTAGTAAACGAATACGAAAGGTTCACTCAGGTTCACCCCCCTCCCCTCCCGTCCCCCAGGTTAAAGGGGCATACTTTTACTCTCACCTTTACAGCGGAAGAATGCAGATCACGAACACGCATACCAGCCATAGCTCCCTATCTGACCCAACAAGACAACGAGACCAACCCGCTCAAGCCAGCCTACCAGCCCCTAGCATCGTCGGTTAAACCGGCTACATAATCATACCATTAGACCCCCTAGGCTTCACGGCCACAGCGACCCACACTACCAAAAATGTAATTCCCTCAGCTCATGGCCCCTGGCCAGCAAACCCTACGTGAAGGACATATCTATGTTACATGCATGTTATCTGTTATTTTTTTCCTTTGAAATGCATACCTTAAATCCTATAATCATGACCTGAGTCAAACATAAAGAATTTAAAAAAAGAAAAAGAAAAGGGAGGATTTATTTTCTACTATAAATATATACAACAAGATAGGAAAACAGCTGATTTTATTAAGACATGTAGGCTCCTTTTATGCTGCACTCGTTCTTTATTTCCCTGAGCAGCAAAGAAAAAACTTTAAGAATGAATCACAGGAATCAGTCAGTAACATGTGTCTTCCATGGCAACCAACAGCCAATCAGGTTCCACTCTCCAGCATAATAGGCTGAACTATTTCCTCTTTCTTTGCTACTCCCTCCTTTAAGTACACTGATCCCATAGTTTCTTAACTGTGGGATTGTTATTTTACATATTTGTACCTATAATTTAATTTAAATTTTATTTATTTAAATTTTATTTTACTTATATACTTGTATATTTATAATACTTATATACTTATAAATTTACATGTTACCTTATACTTGGTGTTATTAGTTGGTACTTGTATTTGTTTTTTCTCATTTTATTTCATTTATATTATATTTCTATCTGTGATTTATTTGTCTATGGTAGCTTTTCCCTCCCGGTCCCCTGTCATTCATTTTGTGGGGCACCGGGAGGAAATTTTCACTATCTCCAGTTTAATCCCTCATTTTACTATCTCACTGCGTTTTCACACCCTTTTTCTTTCATTTTCAATGGTTTTCTCTGCTCATGTGTTCGGGCATTAGTACCATTCGGTAGTTTTGCCGTTCATTAGTTTTGTGTACCTTCTGTTTCATGCAAGCCACATCGGGACTTTCATCATTTGTAGGATTTGCATGAATTGTGCATTCGTGCGCATAGTTCATTCACTATGTCGTTCATTCATTTAACAAGTGTATAATAGATTTTCATACGAATGGTCAGTTCGCGGAATTTCGCCAAATTTCGTGATTTTTTATCCCGATAACCTTGCCCCTTCCTGCTTCACCTTGTTGAGGTTTATTAGTTTTGGCGAACGGGTGGCTCTCTTACTCTCTCTGCACCTTTTTCGCAGATTGTAAGTTGATTTGTCTTTTTTTACAGCATTTTCTTCCTCCCTGGGTTACTAAACCCTGTCGTTAGGTTATTTTATTATTTACAGTTTACCAATAATTATTTAATAATTGTCTAATGATGCAGTCTGATAAGGATTTACCTTTGGCCTCTGGGTCGCAAGCGACGCCTCAAATTCCCCACGGTAACCCGGGGGAAGGGACTCTGTCCCCTGATTTATTTGCATCTGTGGACATACAGGCGCTCTTTGACGCCTCAGTTTCTAGGTCCATTATGCAGGCTATGGTATCTGCTATGGGTGCTGTGTCAACTTCTTGGTCGCATTCTAATACCCAGGCCCTATTAAAAGCCCAACAGTCTGCACAGCGGACAGGTATGGCGACTACATCGATCCTGACGCCAAGACCAAACACTCCTCCCAAACCGTTTTGACTGACAGTCTCCCTACTGTCTCAGATGGCGCGCAACCACCACCGTGCAAAAGAGCCACTAGCCGGGCAAAATCGGCTAGACTGTGGAAGCGGGCAAGAGTCCAGCTGGGAACAGAATATAAGGGAAGGGCTGCGCCACACTAAATAGACAATGTCCAGTACCAATATTGATAATAATTATTGAAGGAAAAGTCCAACCTAAAAATGTCCTCTCTGTCGTCCTTGGATACAGGAACCAGATCTTCAGGTGTAATATAAAAAATAAAAAGAGAGAACAGCCGATAGTGCAGTATGTATGATTCAGATGGAATAAAATTCGAATAATGGTAGCGAACTCACAATTTTTAAGAGCTTCTGTCCAGCTCTAGGGTAAAGCGCACACAGCGGTACAATCCCCGCTTATGGGATGTATGATGAGTATCAGTTCGTCAGAGGTATCCAAAACTCAAAGAGAACAGAAACAACCAGATAGTGCTCTCTGTATAAATATGTGTCGTAGGGAAAAATAAAAAACGTACTTACAAGTACAGAGCAGGCCAACTGCTCTTTGATGCCAGCGCTGGTGGAATAATCACCACCTAGGATTTCTTTGGCTGCCAGGAACTTGTAGAAGTGATGTTAAAATCAAAATAAAATATATATAAAATATAATAAAAAGAAATAAGTAGCCAGGATAAATGTATAAATAAAGATGATTTGAACTATCAAATAGCCAAAAACTTTAATATTTATTATACAAAATTATATTTCCATAACGCGTTTCGTCTACAGACTTTATCAAATGGAATGCAATACAATACCTGGCAGATAGTGTTTATATAGACATAGTTAAATTCAAATTTGGTGCCAAAATATTTTGGCCAATCAGAGTAAAGATACTTTTTACATATCAAATTAGCAATACTAGCTTATTTTCAAATAATAAATAGTTTAATAATTCATATTCAATGGATTTTTATTAAAAACGAGGGTAAGAAGGGTTATAAAATCGAGGGGACATTAGGTCACGTGATTTGCGGCACTTCCGGGTTTCGGAAGTATAGCCGCAAAGCCTCATGGGTCCTGTTGTTCCCCAATGCGGCGGCCTTATAAGAAAGGCTAAAAAAAGACCAATCATCAAATGTCCAACATTATACAGTAGATAGTGTGACAGAACACATTAGGTGAAATCACACTAAAAACAAGGGCGGGAAAAGTGCGAAATTTGCGGCACTTCCGGGTTTCGGAAGTATAGCCGCAAAGCCTCATGGGTTGTGTAGTTTAAAAATACAGCGACCTTATGAACTTAAAGGAAAACAAAAACAAGTAAAAAAGAGGCTCAAAAGACTGGGTACTATAATGCGAGGCTAAAAGGCCAACTAAAAAGGAATATAAATATAATAAAAGAGAAGTTTAAAAAGATAATGATACTAACCTTAGTTTTTATTAAAAAGCCACTTTAATAGCCTTAAATATAAAAATAATAAATAAAAACTCATGGTTTGAAATAAAATACAGGATATAAAATGAAATACAAATTATAGAATAAAATAAGATACAGAAAATACTATTGACTTTATAAAAAATTGTGCAGATCAAAGTCTGCATTAAGACCATGGGGTATAAGAGTCTGAAGATTATACACCCATTCCATTTCGTTTTTTCCAAGTATCTTTTTTATATCACCCCCACGCCAGGGGATAGAACATTTCTTTATTCCAATACATTTCAATAAATAAGGGTCTTTATTGTGTATAATAAAATGTTTGGATACTGTATGATTTAAGTATCCATTTTTGATATTTCTGCAATGTTCACTCAGTCTTGTCTTAAAGGATCTTGTGGTCATCCCCACGTATTGCAGGCCACATGGGCATTCGAGCAGATAAATAACATTTTTTGTATTACAACAAATAAAATCATAAATATTATACACTTTCTTAGTCCTATTTGATATAAATTGAGTTGTTTTAGATGAGATAAAAGGATTTGTGGTTCTGCATACTATGCAGCTTTTACATTTGTGGAAGCCTTTTGTTTGAGGGAAAAAAGGAAATGTTATTCGTAGTGGATTCTTTTGTAAAATTAGAGGTTAAAATAGATTTAAAATTAGGTGCTCCTCTAAAAACAATATTAGGGTATTAAGGTATAATAGAATTAAGTACTTCATCGTGTTTGAGAATATGCCAATGCTTATTTATTATCTTTTTAATGTTTTTACATTTGTTGTTGAAGTTAAAAATAACAGGAAGAGACATAGGTTCAATATCCTCTTTGTTTTTATAGGTTAGAAGGTCTTTACGTTCTTTTACCTTTATTGTGTTGAGTGTGTTATTTAAATCTGACTCTAAATAGTTTTTTTCAATAAATTTATTTTTTTAAATCTCTGCTTGTTCGTTAAAATCTGTCAGTTCTGAGCAATTCCTACGGAGACGTAGGAATTGACTCTTAGGTGCACTTTCGAGCCATGGCTTATAGTGACAACTCGATTTATCTATAACCGTATTTACACAAACTTTTTAAAAAAAGGTTTTTGTTTGTAGTTGTCCTTCCTTTATAAAAATATTAAGATCTAAAAAGTTAATGGATTCCCTACTAAATTCATGAGTCAAAATAATACCACTGGTGTTGTTATTCAAATTTTCAATAAAAGCAATAAGATTTTGTTTGGTGCCCTCCCAGATAAAAAAAAGATCATCTATATATCTAAAATATGAAACTAGGTTTGCCCGCCACCCATGATCACCCCAGATCGCTTGGGTTTCCCAATCAGCCATAAATAAATTCGCATAGCTGGGGGCAAACCTAGTCCCCATGGCAGTACCTCTCTTTTGTAAATAAAAAGAATCTAAAAACCAAAAATATTTTTTTATTTTTTTTTTATGGATCCAAACCTTTATTCGTTTTCACAAAACAAACCCAAACATTATTCAGCATTCACAAAAGCATGACGCAGCATTTTGCAGAGTTAAAAATCCCTAGCCAATTGTGCCAAAATCATAAATTACAGGCAAAACTGTAAAGCACAGTAAACAGGAAAACATGGCATGTCTCCAAAATACAGACACTCCTCACTTACCGACCGGGTTGTAGGAACGGCCAAATTGGTCGGTCTGGAGTCAAGGGACTCCCCGCTCCGGTGCGCTCGCCCATGCCCGGGGAAGTTTCCCCGAACATAGACACGCGCACCAGAGCAGGGACACCCACGACGGCTCGCACTTACGCCTGGTCATAAGTGCAAGCCGTTGTAAAACAGGTAGGTCACCAAATGAGGACGACCCGTAATACAGAACAATAATCCATTTCAAACTGGTGAGCATCATTTGCCAATCTTTATTGTAATCAAGTTTTCTTGGAGTAACATCCTCCGTAGTTTTTTTTTTTTTTTAATTTGACAATTTTTATTGGCATTTTTGTCGTAAACGACGACATGTGCTGGGGTAGGGGGGGGTACAGAAGAGAGAGGGGAAGGGGGGGCAGCAGCAGAGTTTTGTATATGTCACATATCATATTCATACAGTACAGAACAAATAGCAATTACAGCTTGGATATGGATATACAATATGCGTTTGTTCACTCTAAGGTCCGAGGTCGGCTCGGCCCACATTTTAATCTCAAGCTCTACAGCTTCCTTCCATCGGGATTAACCCAGGTGACCCGATCTCCATGCGTCCCAAATCTCCCACGCCTTTGCGGAGGTATGGGATGGGGGCCACAGTTTGGTGTATGCTCCTTCATATGCTCTTTGTTCTATCAGAGCGGCCAGTAATCTGGAGAAGGGCGGACATACTTTAGATTTCCATGTTCTTGCAATCTCCCTGTGTGCCGAGAGGAGAACATGATACATAAGTTTCCTCTCGGCTCTAGGGGTTCCGCTTGGGAGAAGTAGTGTTATAAATACTTGGGGGCGTAAATTGTATAGAGATGCCAGTCAAGCCTTGCAGGAATGAATGGACTTCTGTCCAGAACGGTTTAAGGGCTGGGCAATGCCACCAAATATGGAGGACATCTCCTCTTAATATTCCACATCTCCAGCAGTTGGGGGAGCTATTTGGGTAAAATGTATGAATACGTGTGGGTACCATGTACCATCTATAAACACTCTTACGTTGTTGCTCCACTAGAGAAGTGGATGTGAGTAGCTGATTAATGTCTTGGAATAAGGTACTCCATTGTGTAGGGGAGATAAGCTCTCCCAGATCTATATTCCATTGTTGTGCTATATTGGTAGCAGGGAATGGCATACAGTTGGCTATGAGTCGGTAACACATGGAGGTCGGTTTACATGCGAGTGGCAATGACCCATTTATACATACTTGTTCCCACACCGTGGGTTGTCCCTTATCGGGTTGCAATTTCCTGTCAGTACTAGCTAACCTGTGGAGGAATGATCTCAGTTGTATGTATGAGAATTGTGAGGTTAAAGGGAGTTTATGTGTGTCTCTCAGTGTGGAGAATTCCATTATTGCCCCATGTTGGAAAATATGATAGAGGTGTGTTAGTTTGTTATCTAGCCAAGGGTTGGCATGGAAGGTAGGTATACAATACAGGAGGGCCGCCACTGGTGTAGCTGGTGAAAGTTTAGTTTGGGAGCTAAGCGTTGATCTATGTTTATCCCATATTTGTAGCTTGAGGGCGAGGAGGTCGGATGGATGTGGCAAGGTCGGGCGATATACCTTCGGTATCCACATAATGTTAGGTAGTGTGAAGGGCCTCAGCAGGTTTCTTTCTATCTCTACCCACTGAGGAGGTATCTTATCCATATGATGGGGAAGTAATGAGGACAGTATGGATGCGTGGTAGTAGGCCTTCACATCTGGTAGTCCCAGTCCGCCTATCTTTTTAGGAGCTTGTAAAAGGTTCCTGGCTACTCTCGGTCTAGACCCAGCCCAAATAAAGTTGTCTGCATCTTTTTGTACCAGTTTGAAGAAGGAGTGTGGGGAGCGTTCTAAAAATATATTGCAGTTTGGGAAGGATAGACATCTTCACTGCCACTATTCTTTCAGTCCATGTTAAGTAAAGAGGTGACCATCTTTTAAGTTGTAAGGCACATTCCCTCCACATTCTAACATGGTTGCCCGTGTATAGCTCTGTTTGTTTCTTAGAAAACAGTAGTCCAAGGTATGTAATGTCATGTTTCCTCCAATCGAAGGGGTACGACCCTCTGAGGCTTATCAGTTCGCTATCTGGTACACCTATGCTAAGTGCTTGGGTTTTGGAGGTATTGAGAGAATAGTAGGATTGTGCTCCATAGTCATGAATGAGGGACATGATATGAGGCAAGGATTCAGTTGGTCGGGTCATGTAGAGGAGGATGTCATCTGCGAAAGCACTTATTTTAACTTCTCTAGATCCGACCTGGATACCAGTAATATTGGGGTGGGATCTAATTGCGACCAGAAGTGGCTCCAGGGCTAATACATATAACAGTGGAGACAGTGGGCATCCCTGTCTGGTCCCGTTAGATAATTCGAAAGGGTCTGAAAGGAACCCGGCTTGTAGAACTCTAGCTTTGGGAGCTGAGTACAGTGCAAAAATTTGGGTGATGGTCTGGTGGGGGAAACCGTATTTCCCTAGAACTTGTCTCAAGAAGGCCCAGCCGAGGCAGTCAAACGCCTTTTCCGCATCCAAGGCTAGAAGCAGACCTCCCCGGCTAGGCCTCCGGAGCTCCTCCAGGGTGTGCATCAGTTTGTATGTGTTATCCGAGCCCTGTCTCCCCCTGACGAACCCTGTTTGATCATCACAAATCAGCTCTGGCACAATTCCGCTCAGTCTGTTTGCGATGATTTTAGCGTAGATTTTGGCGTCCGTATTGAGGAGGGAGATCGGGCGATAGTTTTTACAGTCATCTGCAGGTTTACCGGGTTTTGGGATGGTAATAATTGTGGCCATAAGCATCTCCGGAGGGAGGGAGCCAGTTGTGGAGGCCTGTTGGTACACTTGCAATAGGTGGGGTGCCAATGTGTCTGCAAATTTCTTATACTATATGTTAGTGAAACCATCAGCTCCAGGGGATTTAGCCAGAGGCAGAGATTTGATGACTGCACTAACTTCGGTCAAGGTTATGGGTTGTTGGAGTTCTGTAGCTTGTTCGGGTGTGATTTGCGGCAAGTGTATCTGATTGAGGTATTTGGAGATGCTATCTTCCGTTGGGTTATATATGCCTGTCCTGAGGTGCAGGTTGTAAAGTTTGGCATAGAATCTCGCAAACGTTTGCGATATGTCATTGGGATTTAGTATTTTCTGACCCCTATCATTTATAAGGTGTGCTATCTTTTGTGCATTGCATTTGTTGCGTAATCTCGCTGCTAACAATTTCGTGGCTTTACCGCTTTGATGGTAGGCGGTAGCTTTTAGTTTATGGAGTAGCCTCCTAGTTTTGTCTGCTGTCAAGTCTCTTAGTTTGTCATATTGTAGGGTGAGTTGCATCCCTGTTTCTTCTGTGGGCTGGGTCTTATTTAAAGCAGAAAGTTGCGCTATCTTTGTGTGGCATTCCAACATTGCCGAGTCTTGGATTCTTTTAATGTGTGAAGCTTGTTTAATAAATAGGCCCCTAAGCACCGCCTTATGTGCGGACCAGACCGTGGATGCCGTGGCCTCTTGGACAGTGTTTAATTTAAAGTAGGTTATGAGCACATCTTGTATGGTAGCGGTGAATTTCTCATCATTCAATAGGGAGTCATTCAACCTCCAAGTGCCTTTCCCTGTGAACTGGAATTCGTCTTTCAGTACCAGGGTAACCGGGCTGTGGTCTGACCACGTAATCTCCCCGATCCTACAATCAGCGATAAGGGGCAAGGTAATTCTATCAACAAAGAACCCATCTATCCGAGAATACGAGTTGTGTACCCTCGAGTAAAAAGTATAATCTCTTGTTTTAGGACTAAGGGTTCTCCATACATCATAGAGGTCATGCAGTGAAAGTGTTTTGTTGATGTTTTTGTGGGTCTTGTCTTGCGACAATCGAGTATTATTGCCCCTCTGAGTTGATCTATCCAGGGGTGATTGGGTGAAGTTAAAGTCGCCACATAGCAATAAATTGCCTAGGCGATATTGGTCGCTTTTCGTTAGTAGGGACTTAAGGTATTGATTGGAATTCTCATTAGGGAAGTATGCCGTGACCAGTGTGTATTGGGCTGCGTTAATGAGGCACTGCAGGATTATGAATCTACCCTGGTGGTCTATAAAATGCCCCTGGCTAGTGAATGCGATGCCTTTGTGTATTAGGATAGATACACCCTTAATTTTGGTTACCGAGAGCGCATGGTATTGTGTTGGGAAGTGTTTATTAAAGATCTTAGGTGTATAGCCTTTCTTAAAGTGGGTCTCTTGAATACGTGCGATGTCTATTTTAGATTTTATCAATTCCTTGAACAATAAACACCGTTTCCCAGGGGTATTCAACCCCTTCACATTATACGTTACTACTCTTATGATAGTTGGGGACCAGTTTCGCTATGATGTCTGGTATGTGGAGGTGAACTGATGTTCGAGTAGAGACAGTCTTGTTGCCTATGTTGTAGCTATATCCAGATAGCAAGTATATCACGGACCTATCGAAAAGGTCGCTCCTGTTAAGTCGTATTGTACTGCTTTTGCGGGATATTGCGTCCTGTGTTATTCTACAGTCTGCTAAGGTAAACCTGGATAGGTAGGGGAAAGAGGGAACTAAGGAGGGAATAAACTGGGGGTGGGGTAGGGGGTAAAAACCCTGATTAAGCTCTACACGAGAGAGCTGGAGCGCGCCAAGCTTATGTGGAGTTTATAGCTGTAACTACAATGTTTGCAGTCAGGGGTGTCAGGTACCCTTCCTTCCTTTTGGCACAGTTGCTATTTACACTCTATTAATTGAGATAGGGTGCTGAGGCTTTCCAGGGCCGCAGACATCCCCATCCAACTTGTAACGCAAAAACATAACCTATTATAACATTTCTTAACCAACAGTACATAGATACCAATGACTGCTCTGTGTGCAGCAGTTGGAGTTAGGTATACTTAACACTCTCCCATTGGGAGGAGAGGCAGGCCTTGCAGACTGTCCGTGTTCAGGCAGGGGTCCACTCTGGGGACATCCGAGGTATCTTTGCTTGGTTGTGGTCGCTTAATATAGCAACTGGGAGTCCCCACAGCTTAAATTTTTCTTTGCCAGCCGGCAGCGAGTTTACGGTGTGCAGCGAGTCCTGATACTGTATGAGCAATTTTGCGGGGTATCCCCAGCAGTAGATAATTCCTTTTGCTCGTAGTGTTGTCGTGAAGGGGGTGTAGCGGATGGCACTGGGCTGTCCTGCAAATGTCTTTGAAATTACTGCATTCGTGTGATCTGCTAGTTTTCTATGTGTTTTAAAAGAATTGTATTCCTCTGATTGTTCGGTAGTTTCATTCCCTTAGTTTATTCGAATGAAAATACCGAACAACTAGACCTCCCCTGTGTGAAGTGTGTCCTCAATTACCCGTTGCAACATTGTTGCGAACGGGTAATTGACTAGTAAGTAGCCGTCCTTTGTTCTCGGGGGTGGCCGCCATTCGACAAACGAACACGTGGCGGCAGCCATTTTAAAACTCCCGAACAGCGGTGTTTTGCCGTCGAGTGTCTGGAACTAAAATCGGACACTCGAGTAGGCGAACACCACTGAGACCTCCACAAGCCCGGTCCGTTCGGTTTCAAACTACCGAACGGCCCCTCGTTCGGTAGATAGAAAGAACCGAACGAGGGGATTCAGGCGAACCCTCCCTAGCCTCTATAGCTAGAGGTTTTCGTGTATTTAATTCAGCCATACATTTCCCGAACCCCTGGTCTGATCTGGGTGATTTTTGGATATGTTGTTCACCCAGATCAGGGGTATCTGGGGATGTAGGATTTAAAGCAGTACCCCTACGTTTAGGGGTACATCCAGAAACGGGGGAAATTACTGTACTGGTTAAGGGGATTATGATGCTGGCTGAGGGGAGGAGATGTGTGGGAGGTTACCAGGACAGGATTGGCTACTGTAATAATTATTGTAAATCCCTCCCTTGCATGGGAGCATGCACTGTGGATTAAAGCTTTCAGTTCTGCTCCTGAAACTGTGTGTCGTCCAGTTATTGGGATTGCTGTGGGGATATTGCTGTTATTTTACCTGCTGGAAACCTTGCCTGTGGATTTATTATTTGCTCGTTCCTGAGCCTCACTTGGATCATAAGCGGAGATAACCTGGGGAATATTGCATCTCCGCTACATTGGTTGGCAGCGCTGGGATCCAGACTCACAAGGGAACAAGGACTAATGGAATACGGATGGAGAGTGATTATGCCAAGCTTAAAAGATCCACGCTAAAAGATCTTCTGGAAGCGAAAGGTATTGCAGCCAGCAATAAAAGGAAAGCAATCCTCATTGCAGAAGTAATGGCTGAATACCAGCAGGAGGACAGGGCAATCCCTGAGCAGCAGAGTGCAGCAGATGGAGCTGAAAAAGAGGAGTTCCAGAGACAGCTGCAGTTCAGGCTGTCCTTTTATGGAGAGAATCCAACAGCGGATATTATATCCAGGACAATGACAGAGGTGCAGGAGTTTATACTGCGTCAAAGGCCACTACAGCAGCTGGAGAGGAATGCTACCACAGCTACCATCACACAGGGTAAGACAAAAATTCCTTACCAAGCCTTTAAAACGTATGTAGAAGCAGAGGAGGATATAGATGCTTTTCTCCAAGACTTTGAAAGGCTGTGTGCATAGCATAATATTAGCCCAGACGAGTGGGTGCCTATTTTAGCAGGGAAGCTCACAGGGAAGGCTGCTGAAGCCTATAGAACTGTACCTGATGAGGAAATTCGGAATTACCGCAGAGTAAAAGAGGTGATCCTGGCCCGATATGCAATCACGCCAGAGGCATATCGGCAGCGGTTTAGAGACCTAAAGAGAAAGGACAAGGACTCTCATGTGGAATGGGCTTGCAAATTACATCGGGCCGCCCTGGGGTGGGTACAGTCCAATAAGGCTCGGTCCATGGATGACTTATTACAAATGGTGTTGTTGGAGAAATTTTATGAGGGGGTAACCAGCGATGTCCAGGAATGGGTGAGGGACAGAAACCCTACCTCCCTCACCGAAGCTGCCAGGAAGGCAGATGAGTACCTGGATGCACGCAGGCAGCAGAAACCTGCAGCCCCAAAAGCCACCTTTAAAACATTTGGGGGAAACAGCTACAACCCAGCTCCACCGAGACAACTGCCACCACCACCACCACCCGCTGCGCAGCCACGTTTTCGCCAGCCCACTTCTGGCTCCTGTCATCACTGCCAGAAATGGGGACATTATAAAAGGGAATGTCCCCAGCTGAGGGATCGTTCCACCTGGATTCGCCCCGGCCCACCACCACCACCAAGAGCAGCCGCAGCCCACCACTACCAAGATATAGTGGCTACACCATATGGTTCAGCCGTTCCCATAACAACCGTGGAACAGTGGGAAGTACTGCACGAAGCGGATCCAGTCCAGGCCAATGCTGATAACAGACAACATCACAGGCAGACCGTATACCTGGAGGGTAAAGCAGTACAAGGATTACGTGACTCAGGGGCCACTATCACCCTGGTACACTGCTCCCCCGGCTACCCTGACGGCCACAGTTTTACTCAGTTTCGCTTGATCCGACACCTGGTGTCGGATCAAGCGAAACTGAGTAAAACTGTGGCCGTCAGGGTAGCCGGGGGAGCAGTGTACCGGCTACCTACAGCAAGGGTACATTTACATTGGGGAGCGGGGGCAGGGCATGTGGAGGTGGGGTTGATGCCGCAGTTACCGGCGGAGGTATTGTTGGGGAACGATCTGGGGAGGCTCACGTCTGCTTTTGAGCCCCAGACACCCACCACAGGAGAAGCTCACCCTGTGGTCACCCGTCAACAGGCCCGCACCCAGGACTACAACACACTTCCGGAGGTTCAGGTAAGAGACCCTTCCCCTTCCCTTGACTGTGTTCCCTGGGCCCCTCCTAACGAATTTGCAGCTGAGATAGCGACTGACCCCACCTAGGGACAAGGTGACAGCAGACCCTCCTGGGGGAGAGGGAGAGAGATTTGTCTGGGACAAGCAGCTGTTGTACAGGGAGACAGACAAGCAGATTGATGGGTCAGACCCAATAGTGATGAGGCAGCTAGTGGTGCCGCAGCGGTACCGAGCAGAGCTACTCCGGATAGCGCACGATATCCCGCTATCCGGACATCTAGGGGTCAGTCGCACTAGGTACCGACTGACCCAAAGTTTCTTCTGGCCAGGGATCAGCCAGGAGGTACGCAGGTATTGCACCACCTGCGATACCTGCCAAAGGGTAGGGAAAAGGGGAGACCGGAGGAAGGCGAAACTACACCCCCTGCCCATAATTGAGGAACCTTTTAGCCGAATAGCGGTAGACTTGATAGGCCCCCTCAAGAAAGCTAGCCCGTCAGGCAAAAGGTACATTTTAACGGTAGTAGACTATGCTACTAGATATCCAGAGGCAGTGGCTCTGACCAACATTCACGCTGAAACGGTCGCGGATGCCCTCATGCAGATATTCTCCCGGTTGGGATTACCCAGGGAGATTATCTCGGATCAGGGTACCCAATTTACCGCAGAATTCACTCAACACCTCTGGAGGATCTGTGGCATTAAGCCTATTATCAGTGCCCCTTACCACCCCCAGACTAATGGGCTCTGCGAACGGTTCAATGGTACATTGAAACAAATGCTCCGAACCTTCGCAGAGACCCACAAGGACTGGGAGCGGTTCCTGCCGCATCTCCTATTCGCTTACCGGGAGGTGCCGCAGGAATCCACGGGGTTTTCCCCGTTTGAACTGCTATTTGGGAGGAGAGTCAGAGGCCCCTTAGATATTATAAGAGAGCATTGGGAGGGAGATCGGAGCGCAGATGGCACTCCCATCATACCATATGTGTTGGCCCTCCGAGACCGCCTGGAAGCATTAACTAGGACGGTAAGGGAAAACCTTCAGGCGGCACAGACCCGTCAGCGCACATGGTATGATCGGGGAGCCAGGGACCGTAGCTTTCAGGTCGGGCAGAAAGTGCTAATTTTAAAGCCTGTCCGACATGACAAGCTACAGGCCGCCTGGCAGGGACCTTATAGGGTGGTGGAACAGAGATGTGACACCACCTATATAATTGGCCCCTGCACAGGGACGGGAGGGCGACGCATGCTCCATGTGAACATGATGAAGCCCTACCAAGAGCGCTCCGAGGAGGTAACCGCCATATGTGCGCCCAATTCTGACGAGTTTGACAGCTTACCACTCCCAGATCTGCTGGAAGATGGGCAGCTGTCTGGGGATTTAGGGGAAGTCGCACTGGGAGACCGGCTGAGTCCGCAGGAGCGCATCGAGGTACAGCGGCTGTTGGAGGAGAAACGAGACACGTTCTCTAATGTACCTGGGTACACCCCTCTGGCCACTCACCGGGTAGAGACCCCAGGGCAACTACCCATGCGCCAGACCCCCTACCGCATCCCGGAAGCGGTAAGGGAAAACATGCGCAAGGAGATCGATGAGATGCTCCAACTGGGGGTGATTGAGCCCTCAGATAGTCCCTGGGCTTCTCCGGTAGTGCTCGTACCGAAGCGGGACGGTACGACCCGCTTCTGCGTAGACTACCGGAGATTAAACGAGAAAACTGTGTCCGATGCATACCCTATGCCACGGATAGATGAGCTACTGGACAGAATGGCCAGGGGTCAATACCTCACTACCATTGACTTATGTAAGGGGTATTGGCAAATCCCCCTGGCCCCAGAGGCCATCCCGAAGTCGGCCTTTGTCACCCCATTTGGCTTGTACCAGTTTAAGGTCATGCCATTTGGGATGAAAAACGCCCCAGCTACTTTCCAGAGGATGGTAGACCGACTCCTGGATGGGTTCCAAGACTACACCTGTGCCTACCTGGACGATATTGCCATTTTTAGCAATACATGGCAGGAGCACTTGGCCCATATAGGAATGGTTCTAGACAGGATTAAGGAAGCTGGTTTGACATTGAAACTGGCCAAGTGCAGCATAGGGATGGCCGAGGTGCAGTACCTCGGACATAGAGTGGGGTGCGGCAAACAGAAGCCCGAACCAGCCAAAGTAGAAGCCGTGGCCCAGTGGCCCACCCCTAGGACTAAAACCCAGGTGTTAGCCTTTCTAGGGACTGCTGGGTATTACAGAAAGTTTGTCCCTAACTATAGCGCCCTCGCCAAGCCCCTCACTGACCTTACCCGGAAGAATCTGCCCCGCCAGGTGACCTGGACCCCGGAGTGTGAGCAGGCATTCCAACATCTGAAAAATGCACTGATAAATGCTCCTGTCTTGGCAGCTCCCAATCCAACTAAACGTTTTCTTGTTCACACAGACGCTTCTATGTTTGGATTGGGAGCAGTACTGAGCCAAGTCGGGGCCGATGGCGGAGAACACCCCGTGGCTTACATCAGTCGCAAGCTGTTACCCCGAGAAGTAAGCTGCCATCGAGAAGGAATGCCTGGCTGTGGTGTGGGCCTTAAGGAAACTGCAGCCGTATCTATATGGACAGCCCTTTTCCTTACTCACGGATCACAACCTGCTGGTATGGCTAAACCGGGTGGCTGGGGACAATGCCAGGCTGCTGCGCTGGAGTTTGGCGCTGCAGCCTTTTGACTTTAATATTCAGTACCGCCCGGGTAAGCAGAATGGGAATGCCGACGGGTTGTCGAGACAAACTGACCTGGAAAAATGATCCGTGAGTCCCCGGACATCCCCAAGCCGATCCGTGTTGGATCAGACTGTGTATGCCGGCTTGTGGGCAAGGGGGAGCAGTGTAGCGGATGGCACTGGGCTGTCCTGCAAATGTCTTTGAAATTACTGCATTCGTGTGATCTGCTAGTTTTCTATGTGTTTTAAAAGAATTGTATTCCTCTGATTGTTCGGTAGTTTCATTCCCTTAGTTTATTCGAATGAAATTACCGAACAACCAGACCTCCCCTGTGTGAAGTGTGTCCTCAATTACCGTTGCAACATTGTTGCGAACGGGTAATTGACTAGTAAGTAGCCGTCCTTTGTTCTCGGGGGTGGCCGCCATTCGACAAACGAACACGTGGCGGCGGCCATTTTAAAACTCCCGAACAGCGGTGTTTTGCCGTCGAGTGTCTGGAACTAAAATCGGACACTCGAGTAGGCGAACACCGCTGAGACCTCCACAAGCCCGGTCCGTTCGGTTCCAAACTACCGAACGGCCCCTCGTTCGGTAGATAGAAAGAACCGAACGAGGGGATTCAGGCGAACCCTCCCTAGCCTCTATAGCTAGAGGTTTTCGTGTATTTAATTCCCTTATGCCAGGACCGACCGCAGGGCCCATTCGCATGGAACCTCATTCGGCTATCTCAGTTAGTGCGGTCGGTCATTTTATTCCCTCCATACATTTCCCGAACCCCTGGTCTGATCTGGGTGATTTTTGGATATGTTGTTCACCCAGATCAGGGGTATCTGGGGATGTAGGATTTAAAGCGGTACCCCTACGTTTAGGGGTACATCCAGAAACGGGGGGAATTACTGTACTGGATAAGGGGATTATGATGCTGGCTGAGGGGAGGAGATGTGTGGGAGGTTACCAGGACAGGATTGGCTACTGTAATAATTATTGTAAATCCCTCCCTTGCATGGGAGCATGCTTTAAAAGGAGACTGTGGATTAAAGCTTTCAGTTCTGCTCCTGAAACTGTGTGTCGTCCAGTTATTGGGATTGCTGTGGGGATATTGCTGTTATTTTACCTGCTGGAAACCTTGCCTGTGGATTTATTATTTGCTTGTTCCTGAGCCTCACTTGGATCATAAGCGGAGATAACCTGGGGAATATTGCATCTCCGCTACAGGGGGTCAGGCTTTTGCGGAATTGTAGGGTTGCAGCCGACAGGTCCGTGAAGATTTTTAAGTCCTGGTAAGGATCTGGCATGCTTGGTGTGCGGGATGCTCGGACCAACCTCTCCTTAGCATGGTAGAAGTGGACACGGAATATCACGTCCCTCGTGGTGGAATTAGGGAGGTGTTTCGGTCTTCTCAGCCTATGTGCTCGGTCGATGATGAGTTGGTCTGGATGGGTCTCCTGTGTCAGCGCCTGGAAGAGGTCTAACAGGTAGGTGTTAAGTGCTGGATTGAGCACCGATTCCGGGATGCCGCGTATTCGCAAATTATTGCGTCTCGACCTGTCCTCCATATCAGCCATTTTGACCGCATGGTCATGTAGGACAGTGTCTAATTCTTGCAGCTTGTCCGCGAGACCGTTGTGTGCTTCAGCAAAATCATCCATCCTCTTCTCTATTTGGGCAGTACGCTGGCCCACTTCTATTATCTCCTTTCTGAGATCTGTGGTGAGGGATTGTATCTGCGTCGCCATGTTCCTCTGAATGGTGTCAGTGAGTTCTGACAGCATTCGTTTCAGTTGCTGGGTTGTGAGCAGGCTGTCCTCCGGTCCTGCATCTGAGGACATTGGGGATAGAGGTGGGTCCTCCTCGGAGCGAGCGGCGCCGCCATCTTCAATCGGGCTGCGGCCTTCTCGTGGGTGCGGTGTCGCCGACTTGGCCAGGAAGAAAGAGGCTCGATCTGCCTTTGTAGCTTTATTTTTTTGCCTTTGCGACATCCCTGAAGGATCGAGAGTGGTATTCTAGTATTTAGTTATTTGTTGTTTTTTTTCAGTCCGTTTATTTTTAGCCCTGAATCACCCGGTTAGCAGGAGCCTCGTTAGAATGCGTCCATGCAGCTAGGTGTCAGGCCACGCCCCCCCAAAATAATTATTTTTAAGAATTATATTGATACCTTCTATTATAAAATCAATTTGGGTAGCAGGAATTTTCGCTTCTAGGGTTAAAATCTCTTTTATAGCTTTACATCCTATTTCATGGGGAATGATAGTATAAAGGGATTGTACGTCACAAGTAACTAATATGAAGTTTGACTTCCAAGTAAAATTATTTAGAAATTTTAAATTTAAGGCTATTAAAGTGGCTTTTTAATAAAAACTAAGGTTAGTATCATTATCTTTTTAAACTTCTCTTTTATTATATTTATATTCCTTTTTAGTTTGCCTTTTAGCCTCCCATTATAGTACCCCGTCTTTTGAGCCTCTTTTTTACTTGTTTTTGTTTTCCTTTAAGTTCATAAGGTCGCTGTATTTTTAAACTACACAACCCATGAGGCTTTGCGGCTATACTTCCGAAACCCGGAAGCAAATTTCGCACTTTTCCCGCCCTCGTTTTTTAGTGTGATTTCACCTAATGTGTTCTGTCACACTATCTACTGTGTAATGTTGGACATTTGATGATTGGTCTTTTTTTAGCCTTTCTTATAAGGCCGCCGCTTTGGGGAACTACAGGACCCATGAGGCTTTTTGCGGCTATACTTCCAAAACCCGGAAGTGCAGCAAATCACGTGACCTAATGTCCCCTCGATTTTATAACCCTTCTTACCCTCGTTTTTAATAAAAATCCATTGAATATGCCTTATTAAACTATTTATTATTTGAAAATAAGCTAGTATTGCTAATTTGATATGTAAAAAGTATCTTTACTCTGATTGGCCGAAATTTTTTGGCGCCAAATTTGAATTTAACTATGTCTATATAAACACTATCTGCCAGGTATTGTATTGCATTCCATTTGATAAAGTCTGTAGACGAAACGCGTTATGGAAATATAATTTTGTATAATAAATATTAAAGTTTTTGGCAACTTGATAGTTCAAATCATCTTTATTTATACATTCATCCTGGCTACTTGTTTCTTTTTATTATATTTTATATATATTTTATTTTGATTTTAACATCACTTCTACAAGTTCCTGGTAACCAAATAAATCCTAGGTGGGGATTATTCCACCAGCGCTGGCATCAAAGAGCAGTTGGCCTGCTCTGTACTTGTAAGTACGTTTTTTATTTTTCCCTACGACACATATTTATACAGAGAGCACTATCTGGTTGTTTCTGTTCTCTTTGAGTTTTGGATACCTCTGACGAACTGATACTCATCATACATCCCATAAGCGGGGATTGTACCGCTGTGTGCGCTTTACCCTAGAGCTGGACAGAAGCTCTTAAAAATTGTGAGTTCGCTACCATTATTCGAATTTTATTCCATCTGAATCATACATACTGCACTATCGGCTGTTCTCTCTTTTTATTTTTTATATTACACCTGAAGATCCGGTTCCTGTATCCAAGGACGACAGAGAGGACCTTTTTAGGTTGGACTTTTCCTTCAATAATTATTATCATTATTGGTACTGGACATTGTCTATTTAGTGTGGCGCAGCCCTTCCCTTATATTCTGTTCTTATCTTGTATCTTAGGGTTTTGGGGGCATTCCTTTTTTGGGGTTGCTGCCTAATAGGTTGTTTGGCGCTGTCTCTCTTTTTTTATTTATTTATTATAAGAGCCCAGCTGGATTTGTGTGAGTCAGAACTCAACAACATTGAGGTTGAGTCCGATAAGGACATTTCGGATGGTCATTCCGAATCAGACTCCGACGGTGCGATTGGAGAGGCATCCGCCTCCTCCCTCAGCACTTTCCCCGTTAAGATGTCAGGGGGCCAGGATGTCTGTCGGGGTCTGGTGACGACTCTAGGATCTTAGATTTTTGACCCAGACAAGCTTAGACATCCGCGCTCAGCGGAATGGTGTCCTTCTGACCATGTGGCGAAAATATATTGCCTCCAGAGTGCGTAAGCCCTTAGATAAGGCTACTAGAAATAAATTACGGGCAGAATGCCCACGGTCCCATATGACTCATGCAAAAGGCCCATTGTTGACCCCAAAATTGCCCAATTCCTAGCAAAAACTGGGTGGAAGCCTAGAAAGGGTCTCGATTTTGCCCTGACTAATCTTGGACATTTTGGGCCCTGCGGCAAAAATATTCGATGCGATCGAAGACGACCGGGAGCTGGATAGCGATTTCATCCGTGGATGGATCCAAATAATAATTTGCCTAGTGGGCAATGTAAATTCGGCGCTGGCTACCGAGCACCGTAAGTCCATTTTGCTCAAAATCCATCCAAAGCTAGTTAATCTAGCTATTAATGAACTGGGTGCCCAGGCTAAAGGGCTATTATTTCGTGTATCTTTTATGCAAGAGTTGGGGTCATTTGTACACACCTTCACGGCTTTAGATAAAGCTCAGAATAATATGCGCAAGATATTTCACCAAAAGATTTTTGCCGAGGCCGGAAGAGGTAGGAGCCATCTGTCTGGCCGTATTCAGAGAGGTTCGTATAGGCAGAACCGAGGTTCCTATTTGGGACAAGCTGGCTTTCAAGAGCAAAGGACCACATCAGCGTTCTTCCCAGAGGGAGCTCCTGGGTCGCTAGGGGCAACCGAGGAGCTCCCTCTGGACGACGACATTATGGTTAGGGTCTACTCTCCCCTTTCTTCCCTTCGGGTTGTGGGGGGCAGACTCATAAATTTTTCTCATGTGTGGTCACATCTGACGTCAGATGCTTGGGTCCTTCAAGCTGTAACAGGTTATTGCATAGATTTTGTGTCACCCCAGAGAGATTGTTTTTTCCCAGCACGATACTATCCTTGTATCCAAGTAAATTCACGTTGATGCGCAAACAAGACATCACAGAGATCCCAACCAATACAAGGGGGTATGTCAGCAATCTCTTCCTGGTACCCAAGAAAGGCAGAGGGGGGAGACCAGTCATAAATTTGATACAATTGAACGCTTACGTGTCCTATCACCACTTCTTAATGGAAGGCAAAATGGAAACCCGTGACTGCTCTACTACGAAGTCGAGGCGTTCGACTAATCATTTATCTAGACGATATCCTCCTAAGCAGAAGAAAGGTATCAGCACTCTCTATCTATACAAAATACAACAGAAACAATAATAAATAAGTAAAAAGTGGCAGCACATCTAAAAAGTAGGGCTCCCTCACAGGCCTTACAACAGAAATGGTACAGAAAAAAAAAGGAAGGCAGCGCCACTACAAACCACATAAATTAAAAGAGCACATAATAGGCAGACTAGAATGCAATATATATAATAGATAATAAGCAAATAGAAGTCCAGAATAAATAGTCTGACTGGTAGATGAATCAGAATAAATAGTCTGACTGGTAGATGAATCAAACAACGAGGTATTTCTTTGTAGAGGTGAATACAGTCTTTTGTAGTGGGGGATTCTTCAGAGTGGTGTAGATGCGTCTTTGTACATCATATGAAATAAAAAAAATAACAACTGATGGTGCAGTATGTCCCGAAAGGGGTAGAAGCAATAAAAGAGTATATGGTCCTACTCACGTTTTCAAGAGCTATGGACTTAGCTCTAGTGTTGATAACGTACAGTGGTATAATCCCCACTTATGGGATACGTGAGGTCTTAGTATTCTTTCTTGATTAGGGAACCATATGTGGAAATAAAAGCAGGAACAACAATGGTGCTCAAAGTATAAAATGCCAGAGGTGAGAAGATAAAAAAACCAAGTGGTTACTCACATTTAGTTGAACAGACTGACTGTTCAATGAATACAGCTTGAGTGGTATAATCCCCACCTAGGATTCTTGGGAGTAATATCCTCACTGGAAAGTAAAAACACTTCTGTGCCGGATAAAAGGATGGTAGTAGTAAAAAAGTAAAATGATAATAGTAATAAAAAGTAAGATGGCTAACTCACAGTAAGAAAGTGGCCAAAATATCTTTATTTCAGACAACATAGTTTAAAAAACCACAACGCGTTACGCCCTTAGGCTTTATCAAGTGGAGATCAGAAAGTACATCCTGTTACATACAGGTTTATATGGGCAGTGAACATATTAGAAAATGGCGCCAAATGATGTCATCATTTTTTTTTTTCTTCAAAAGTGCTAAATGTGTAAGTGAGTACATACCTATATGTGAAACATGTGATAGTTTAAAATTAAAAACGAGGTTTTATACTCACAATACTTTACATATTATATTTAGATAGAACAGTCACATGATCGGCGGCCTTTTTTTTTTTTTTCTCAAAAGTGCTAAACTTTATATGTATCAGTGAATACATACCTATATTGGAAACATGTGATAGTCTAAAATTAAAATTAAAAACAAGGTTTTATACTCACAATACCTTGCATATTATTTAGATAGAACAGTCACGTATATAAGTCATATTATATAAATATATACTTCATGCACAAAATAATTATAGAAGATAATAAAATATAAGAAATATATTATAAAAAATTAATTATAAAAAATTATAAAAAATTATAAAAAATTATAAAAAATTAAACAGGTCGAACTCTACATTAAGACCTTCGGGGGTAAGGGTTTTTAAAAGGAACACCCAGTGCATTTCTTTTTGTCCCAGTAATTTTTTGAGGTCACCTCCCCTCCAGGGTAATTTACATCTTTGGATCCCAGTACATTTTAAAAATTTAGGGTCTTTGTTGTGTTGAATAAAATGCTTTGAAACAGAGTGATTAAGGTAGCCTTTGATGATATTTCTACAATGTTCTGCTAACCTTATTTTTAAGCATCGTGTGGTCATACCCACATACTGGAGGCCACATGGGCACTCCAATAGGTATACAACATTTTTAGTAGTGCAACATATTAAATCTTTGATAGGGTATGTAATACCTGTTTTGTTTGAGGTGAATTGTGTTGTTTTTGATGTGCTGTTTTGGTCAGTGGATCTGCAGACAATGCATCTGTTGCATTTGAAAAAAACCTTTAGAATTTGATAAAAATGATGGATTGCTTGTATTGGCATTTTTTGTATAATTTTTAGTAAGCATCGTCTTTAGGTTTGGGGCACCTCTAAAAATGATATGGGGTTTATCTGGGATGAGTGTCTTTAAAATTTCGTCTTGTTTTAAAATGTGCCAGTGTTTTTGAATAGTTTTTTTTCACAATTTTATTCTTATTGTCAAAGTTAAAGATGATCGGCATGGATGGTGGGTCTTTATTTTTATTCGTATTATATTCTAAGAGCTTGAGTCTTTCTTTTTGTTTCACTGCTTCTTCTAGCTTTTCTTTTGGGTAATTTTTACTGATAAATTGAGCATCATACGAGGACATGGTGACATTAGACAAAGAGGCGAAAGACAAACTTCACTGGTGGCATCTCTACATGGAAGCGTGGAATGAACGCGCTATCTTCAGAACAACCTCATATATGGTCGGACGTGGAAACGACGCTGCACATCAATTGCTTGGAGCTTCTGGCCGGATTCTTTGCAGTACGCAGCCCATCTCCGACTCACTCTCAATGCAGAATTCTATTGACGATGGACAATGTATCCGCTGTCAGATACATCAACCATCTAGGAGACACGAAATCCAAAGTGCTGGCAAACATGGCACACGATTTCTGGCAATTTTGCCTTATGCACAATATCTCGGTGACAGCGGAATATATTCCAGGACTATCCCCTATGGTCGTAACAACCATGGTTCACCCATATATTGGAAATGGTGATAGATTTTCCCTGCCTCCTCACATCATACGATTCTCTACTTCGTGATCCGGACGGACAATCTCACCCATTAATCCTCCAGGGTCTCCTTCAACTTATGGCGTGGCTGATTCCAGGTGACCTTGGTCAAGCGAGGGTGTTCCGCAATCAACTCTCAGACTTCTCGAGAATGCATTGGCACTCAGCACGAGACAAGCTTATAAATCTACTTGGAATGCATGGAATGGCTGGTGCTTGGGAAGAAACCTAGATCCCTTATCTGCGCCTTTGACGGCCATCTTCCAATTTTTGACCTCCCTTTTTGAAGCAGGGAAAACGTACCACACGGTTAACCTCTACCGTTCTGCGCTTTCCGCTGGACATCAAGGCATCGATGGTGCCCCCTTTGCACGACATCCTTTGTTCTGTTGCTTACTACGCAGAGTATGATTTTTTTTTTTTTAAATTCTTTATTTATTGCGTGCAAAGAGGTAACATTGCTTGATGCGCCACAACAGCTGCAGCAAACCGAGAGATAACAAGATATACATGGTTATGGCATTCGCATGCGTTACACAATTTTTTAATTATATATCATGCAGACTAAATCAGTATAACAAGCTTAGTGCTATTGAGTAAAACTTTTATATCTATTCTATGCATGCTTAGTTGAGCAGTGGTTGTATAACTTAATTAGTTACAGGCTTATGCAAAAAATAATATCAGATACAGGTTTCTCTAGCTAATTGAAGTTATCCACCAGGGGGCAGTGAGTCGCTGGGTCAGTCGGCTAACATATACATGTGTGCACCATCACTATTAGTTTAAGCTGAGCTCCTACAATTCTTTTCACACTAGGCACTAGTAGCCAAGTAAGTAACTGTGGTTTATCTAAGACATTGCGGGAATAGCAAGCAAGTTACAAAGTGCGAGCTTTTGATGTGTAGCGTAAAGCATACTGTCGAGTTGCGAAGTATAAGATAAACATAGAGTAAAATTATAATAAAATTAAAATTATAGTTAGCGCTCATTGTGGGTTGAGCAACAGGTGGCATGTGTCTCGGCAGGGCCGTGGCCACAATCAACAGGCCGTTAGACCTGAGAAGGCTGCATGCAAGGTGAACGTGAACATTATAGATATAAAAACACAAAGTGGAATGCTTGTAAACATTAAACATTAATAAGGCCTGTGGTAGGTGGGTCATGTGGCCTTGAGAAGGTGGTCACTGAGTCCCGAGTTGGATGCGATGTCGCCATCTTCCGTTCATGTGGTGACTGTCGCATAGGGGTCGGGTGTTAGTCCCTGCGGTACGAATGGGGATGTTTGGGACGGGTCCCAGGTGAGAGTCGGGGAGGGTGTGCTCTGGCAGTTAGACGGTGTAAGAGCGTCCCGTGGTAGGCCTAAGGCCTGCAGTAGCTGTGCTGCTTCGCTCATATCGCGGATCCGATGGGAGTCTGTTCCCTGGTGAATGGTGAGTGTGTGGGCAGGCTGCCAACGATATTGGAGGTCTGTTGTCGGAGGAGCGTGGTGAGTGGCCTGAAGGAGCGCCGCCACGCTAGGGTGTCGCTCGATAGGTCCGCAAAGAATGATAGTGTCATACCCTCAAATTGGAGTGGTGGTTTGCCCCGTAATGCGGTGAGGATTGCAGTCTTGTCCTGTCTTGTGCGGAAGGCCAAGATTACATCTCTGGAGGCTGGAGTTGGTGCTTTAGGTGGGATGGGGATTCTGAAGAGATGTTCGGGGCCTATTTTGTCAGCTTGGGTATGCGGCAGTATGCTCGAGATCAGGCGCTTAATAAGTTGTGGTAATGCCGCTGTGGGTATTGCCTCGGAGATCCCCCTCAGTTTAATATTGTTGCGCCGTCTAGCATCCTCCTGTTCCGCCATACGGTGCTCCGTGTTCCGCTGTAGCAGTTGTAGGTCGCTCACGGTCTTTCGGAGCTCCCCGATGTCTCGGGTATTCTTTGTGGAAGTGTGTTCGAGGGTGACTATACGGGTTGTCAGGCCTTTCAGGTCTCCCCTTAGCGCCATTATATCTTGTTGCAAGCTAGATTGAAGGTCTGCGAGCAGTTGCTTCAGGATCGACGTAGTTAACGGAGTGGAGTCCGTTGTGGGTCTATTAGGCTGTGGGGGTATTCCTGGTGCTGGCGCCGGTGCGTATTCTTCCCCCGACAGGTCGTCGGAGAAGTCCGAGCAGCCTCCGTGGAGCGCCGCCATGTTGGGCCCACCGGCGCCACGCGCTTGTCTCCACATGTCCCCTATTGTGAGCCCGGGGGTGGCTTTGTCTGCGCTGATTTTCTTTGATTTGCGTCCCATGTCGTTGGGGATACGTATGGAGTCGTGTTTTCGTTTTGGGGGGTGCTCCGTTTAGGTATTTTATCCCGTTTTTCCCCGTTTGGGCCCAGGAGCTCCGGGTTAGTGCGACTGCTGTCTGCTGCGGCTAGGCTCCGCCCCCCGCAGAGTATGATTTTCTCGCCCTCCGTTACCTTGTTACTCTACACTCTGGGATGTTTCTCTTGTCCTCCATTTTCTAATGTCATGGCCCGATAATACTTTGTTATCCCTCAATCAACTGTCAGCAAAACTGGTCATGCTTTTCTGCCTCATTTCATGCAAGAGAGTCTCAGATATGCGAGCTCTAGACACAGACGGTTGATCCTTTACACCGGAAGGTGTACTCTTCGATATCTCTAGAAGGACTAAAACCTCTTCTAAGTCCATACAATACCCGATGTTACAGCAGAAACCTCTCCTGTGCCCAGTGGCATGCCTACAGGAATACGAACTCTGTACGGCTTCGCTCCGGAATCCTATGAGACCTCAATTGTTTATCTCTTTCCGCAAACCACACCTTTCAGTATCCTCTCCTTCTTTGGCATTTGGGTCAAATGGATTATGACATTGGCAGGCATTGATACTTCCATATTCTCTCCACATTTTGTTCTAGGAGCTATGGCCTCTAAAGCCTCTGCGGTAGGATACCGACTAGACGATATTCTACGAGCTGCCGATTGGGATTCGGAATCCACATTTTGTGATTTCTACTTCAAACTGATTGAACACTTTGCTGGAACGGTTATATCATAGCTTTAAACCAGCATAATAGGAGCTTCTGTGTCTTAATACAATTACCAGATTTTACTATTTACATGACGTAAAGTCATGATTTTATTAACGACACGGAGGCGAGTATTATCCCTCCCACCCTTCCCCTGATGGTGGTTAACCTGGGTAAGTTGTTTACGGTAAGTTCCTTTGGTTCAGGTTTGCTCACTAGTAAGGTGATTTTGGTTCAATCTTTCATGTCTGTATCCACCTCATACATGTTGACTGAATACTAGTTTAAATCGGATATTGCCTAGTCACTTACACTGTGTTATTTATGCATAACTCCAGTTTTATTCTTGGATATTACCATATTCTACTCTCTCTTACAGCTTGATTTGGAAGTTCGTTTACTGGTGGCATTGTTCCCGTATTGGAGTTCCTTTTTCGGTTGGATGGCAGTCCAAGTTCTGGATTGCTAAAAAGAGGAAATACTTCAGGGAATACCGCCTCTTATGCTGGAGAGTGGAACCTGATTGGCTGTTGGTTGCCATTGAAGATACATGTTACTGACTGTTTCCTATGTTTTATTGTTAAAGTTGTTTTCTTTGCTGCTGAGGGAAATTAATAAAGAGTGCAGCATAATACGAGCCTCCGTGTTGTTAATAAAATCATGACTTTACGTCATGTAAATAGTAAAATCTGGTAATTATCTAGAAATAAAAAGGTTTGCAAAACATAGTGTAAATCCACAAAGTGAAATTATGTGCGCTATAATTGGATGCACTCACAAGAAGATAGCGTAATTAGGCATTCATAAGGTGCCTCACCAGATGGTGGCGGGGGGATGTTGTCCACTTCCCTGGACGTACACCACTGGAATACAGGACTTCAGGTGGTCAGCTGAAAAAAGCAGCTTTTATTGAAAACAGCATAAAAAATCTTTAAAATAAATAATAAGAATATGGTCAGTCCTGTACGTCCAGGGAAGTGGACAACAGCCCCCGCCACCATCTGGAAAGGTACCTTATGAATGCCTAATTACGCTACCTTCTTGTGAGTGCATCTAATTATAGGGCACATCATTTCACTATGTGGATTTACACTATGTTTTGCATATCTTTTTATTTCTAGATAATCAGCTGTTTTCCTATCTTGTTGTAAATACTTTGGTTGATGTAAGATTGGGATGGGGTGATCTTAGGGAGGCTGGAGGGAGGGATCTTAGGGAGGCTGATCACCTTACATTTGTGGGGATTAGTGATGTCGCGAACCCGAAATTTTCGGTTCGCGAACGCGAACTTCCGCAAATGTTCGCGAACCGGCGAACCGCCCGAAACGCCATTGACTTCAATGGGGAGGCGAATTTTAAAAACACACAGGGACTCTTTCTGGCCACAATAGGGATGGAAAAGTTGTTTCAAGGGGACTAACACCTGGACTGTGGCATGCCGGAGGGGGATCCATGGCAAAACTCCCATGGAAAATTACACAGTTGATACAGGGTCTGGTTTTAATCCATAAAGGGCAGAAATCACCTAACATTCCTAAATCAC